TGAACTTTCTGTTTTAACTTGAGGGAATGTGTCTATCCCTAAAAAGTAGCAATACATAATGGGGAGAAAATGGACTGTGTTCATGATGGTGATTGGAAACCTGCTGCCACACAAATGCACCCTATGATCAACGTTTCTACCTCTACTGCCACTCTGTCGGACTAAACTGTGTTAAAGACGAGCTCCATGGCCTACTTATCTGTAGAAGATATTCTGAAATAAGAAAGAAGTGTTTCACAACCCATCGAAATGTCTGTCTGTCATAATGGGGAAAAGATGGATTGTGATCATGATGATGGGACCCGTGCAGGTTTGGGTTAGAATTGGGGCGGTGGGGTAGCCTTGGAAGGTTTGGGTTAGAAGGCCGGGTTCGATTCCCCACCCTACAATGTGTAAAGCCGATTTCTGGTGTCCCCCGCCGTGATATTGCTTGAATATTGTTAAAAACGGCATAAAACCATACTCAGTCAGTCGGGTTAGAATTGATCTTCAGTAACCCATGCTTGTCGTAAGAGACGACTAAAGGGATTGGGTGGTCAGGCCAGCATGTCATCGGTTCCCAGTTGCGCATATTGATGCTCATGCTGTTGATCACTGGATTGTCTGGTTCAGACTCGATTATTTACAGACCACCGCCATATAGCTGGAATATTTCTGAGTGCGGTGTGAAACTCACTCCCTCACACTCATGATGATGATGATGGGAATACCCTGGTTTGCTGCCAGTGCTGCTGCTGTGTTGGTTTACTGCCAAGAACACAGCCCTTCTGACACTGGGTTACGCAGAAGGCTGCAGAGTTGAGGAGTCCTCAAGTTCTTGGTGGGTTCGACTAGGAAGTCATTTCTGGTGTCCCCCACCGTGATATTGCTGGAATATTGCTGGAATATTGCTAAAAGTGACTTACAAGCATACTCACTCGACTTGGCAGCACTTCCTTGGTCAAGTCTCATTCTCTGTCTGGGCTGCATCTAGAGGGAACAAAGGCCCTGAGCTAATGGAGAGCCTTACCAACCTGACTGTGCCAGGATCACAAGAACCCTTTTTGTTGCATATATTCATTTTTATATGTAAATAAGAATATTAAGGTCATATGTTGTGCTGGATTCCATTTAAGTGAATGGTCCTGGCACTATAATTATAACAGTCTTTGGGCACAGAATTTCGCAGGTAGCATGATCAAGATGGTGGTTACAGATAATAGTCAGATAGTATGGTGGTATGCTTGGTACTTGGAGCTTGTTTTTGAAATGTCAGTAACTATTGTCCAGTTAGGGTATTTTTGCTGAAATGCACAACTGCCCGGATACTTATCGATGGAAGCAGATGATGTTATTGATAGTTTTGTAATGGCTCACTGGTCATCTGCTTCACACAGATGTTTTCCAGTCTCACTGACATCAGATCTTAGTGCTAACTGTGGCTAAACAAAAATCTCAGGACATCCAATTACAGTCATGCCATAATCTCCTCTTCTGAAATTTGACTGACCAGTGAAGCGAGTAACTAGATCATGTAGACAGTGGACATTAACAAGTCAGGAGATAGACTTCTTGAGCTGTCTTGAGTTTTAAACTTGAGACTGTCTATAGGCTGGCAAGTTGTGGCGCACTCAGCTTTTATGTTGTCAAGACTCTGAAGCTCCACTGTACTTATGTACATAAGTGTTTTATTGTTTGAAATAAATAAGAGAAGAAAGTGCTTAAGAAGTTCTTAGGGCTACGAACGTTTCGAGAATAGCTAGCCTGATTCTGATTAAGCGCGGTGAGCAATCACTTGGTGTTCGGAGACTGGGCGATTGCTTTAACCAGTAGGCTGCCCCACTGCCCAGTATGTGTTAAGTGATACCCTGATGTGATACAGATTCTATGCATCTCGACCTCACATCGGTAGAGACCAAAAACATATTGTGTGAATGGAGTCATTTAAGCCGACACCATCTATACTTGTATACCGTCCTTCAATTCATCACCCATGAAGGTCCGGGTGAGAATGTTGATCTTCAGTAACCCATGCTTGTCATAAGAGGCGACTAATGGGATCGGGTGGTCAGGCTCGCTGACTTGGACACATGTCATCGTATCCCAATTGTGCAGATCGATGCTCATGCTGTTGATAACTGGATTGTCTGGTCCAGACTCGATTATTTACAGACCGCTGCAATATAGTTGGAATATTGCTGAGTGTGGCGTAAAACTAAACTCACTCACTCATTCACACTTTCAATTCTTTGCTGATACCAAATTACCATGAGAATCAGGTTGCTTCAAGGTTAATGGTTGGCTTGTCAGATTGAAAACTTGGGTTCAAATGCCCAAATCCTGTAATGTGTTGAGTCCCTCTGCCATGATGTATTTGGAATATTGCTTGAAGCCACAGATCAATAATTTTGTCTGCTCAGATTACCACGGATACCAGTGTCCATCTCCTGTGTAGTTGTTGTAGTATACTTTGAACCTAGTGTATGTGTTTTACCATTGAGTATTTACCATGTTTACCACCATTAATTATTATTTATTAATTGTTTAGTTTGTGTATTCAGTATATATTAACTATCATAGGTTCATTGTATTATTCTGATGCTGTTGATCACTGGATTGTCTGGTCCAGACTTGATAATTTACAGACCGCTGCCATATAGCCTGAATATTGCTGAGCGCGACATTAAACACCAACCAATCATTGTATTAGGTATTTTTGCCAAATAAGCAGGTATTTACCTCCAGTCCTGTATTTGAGGGTCCCTTGGACTCATATTCTTAATTTCCAGGGGTCCTTGACAACAATATGGGGGTTCCAGACACTTAAATATTATTATTAATACTGTTACTGTATTGTGTATCATGATCATCGCATTGTTACAGTAATTAAATTGCAAATAATACCATAACAGAGCTAGTTGCAACCGCAGTGATAACTTATTGTTACTTGATTGGTATTTTTACCAAAAGTATTTGGACTTTTTCTGCATCCCTGTGGATGTGCTAATAAATTTTGTTGCGTCCATTGTCAATTTTTATGTGTATAGGACGCATGAATTCCTATACGAATTCCTATTCGCGTAATTCTGCGCAGCAACTGATGCGCATACTATCCACCTGGAGATCCGAAGTATGGAAGCGTATTAGGGCCAGATTATTTTCAAAAATCACTTCATCAATGTAAGGAAGAGTGTTTCATATTAAATTCAATTATGAATAATGAAGAAAAAGGTTTAAAAGTCTGAAGAAAACAAATTTTCATAAAACTGTCAATTTATCTGTCAATTACTGTTATTTACTTACCTTTAGTGATTAAAAGCCAGTCCTTTGTAGAAATGTCCGATTTCAAGCGTAAATTTGGTATCAGGCGGTTTTATCTTTGATACGGAAGTACACTATTGCATTACCGGACGAGGGGAATTACCGGACTCGCTTGTAGCTGTGTAAGGTTGTGCGATGGTGGGATAGCCTAGTGGTTAAAGCATTGGCTTGTCACACTGAAGACCCAGGTTCGATTCCCCACATGGGTACAATGTGTGAAGCCCAGTTCTGGTCTTCAGCAACCCATGCTTGCCGCAAGAGGCGACTAACAGGATCAGGTGGTCTGGCTTGCTGACATAGTTGACACGTGTCATTGTATCCAAACTGCGTAGATCGATGCTCATGTTATTGATCACTGGAGTGTCTGGTCCATACTCGATTATTTACAGATCGTCACCACATAGCTGTAATATTGCATAGTTCTTGGCGATCTCACTGTCTCAGAAAAAACATCAGATTTTCCAGTCATGAGAATGGGGTCTTAATGACCTTCTTCACTTTCAGTCTAATGAAAGTAGAATTGAGCTGTATGTTTTATATACTACCCAAGAGAAGTAAAGGAAAACCCATTGCATGACTGTTTCACTGTACAGTCCGTTTGAGGCAAAATGATACCGATGAATTGCAGTCTAACACATAAACAAATAGACATAAAAGAATCAAACCAACGCGGGAGTGCAATAAGAACAACTTTTCGCGCTGTTCCTTTAGTTGCCACTGCACCCTTGTAACAATCTTTGAAAATGCACAAATAAATGATGACAAGTTTCTTAAACAACGTTTTTATTTGTTTCTAGAGTTGGTCTGTTGTTTTTATTGCACTCCGCGTTGGTTTGATTCTTTTATGTCTATTTGTTTTTGTGTTAGATTGCAATTCATCGGTGTCATTTTGTCTCAAATGGACTAGTAGTCAGTATTATTAAAGAGTTTAGTTTTTTAGATTAGGATAATATTTGGTGATATATTCTTGGGTATAAATTTCTGGGTCCAAGGCAAGCAAATGTTATATTAGATTGATTAAAATCAAGCGTTCACACCTTATACTTTAATTTACAGAAATGTTGGTTATATGTAATAGGCAATATTCGTCATATTCAATGTTGATAAATTTAGTGATTCAAACAGCCATATGTTTATGCATTCAGTCTCAATTTGTATGTCAATATATTGCGTCGGTGAGAAAAGAAATATACATTCAGATATAACATCTGCAGCTGATACATGCTGGAACTGAAGTAGGTGTTCATTTCATTCTATGATGATCTGTTTTGTCACGAAGGCATGAGTCAGGAATAGCATAGATAGACATGATATATTAAGTGCTTCAATCAGTCATATTTTCATTCAGCCATATTCATGCTACATTTGTATGTGCATAAAATGCAATGTATTATGTCTGATTTGGTTGACACATGTCATTGTATCCCAATTGTGTAGATTAATGCTCATGCTGTTGATCACTGGATTGTCTGGTCCAAACTATTATTTACAGACTGCTGCCATATAGCTGGAATATTGCTGAGAGTGGCGTAAAACTAAATTTAACTCACTCACTCACTCTTTTTGTCTCTGAGGCAAAGGAAAGAGCAGACATGCTTGTTATCATGTTGGGTACCATATTTTGTGAGTGAAACCTTTATCAATGTTCTCAGAAGTTTATGTGTCTGTATTGTCTCATTGGCTACTTGTTTTATGTACAGGGTCACAGAGAGGGCAAACCCATACTTCATCCTACAGAAGAGGAAGGGATATGGCGGAGGAGGTCTCACAGGGCTACTTGTTGGGACCCTGGATACCGTGTTGGATAACAAGGTATATATCCTAGGATAAGGGTGGGATATTGTGGTCTCACAGGGCTACTTGTTGGGACCCTGGAGTGTTGGAGGTCTCACAGGGCTACTTGTTGGGACCCTGGATACAGTGTTGGTAATGTCCTCTGGATTGATAATTGTGGAAGCGGTCTCACAGGGCTATATATACCAAGGATATCCTAGGATAAGGGTGGGATATGGAGGTGGTATCACAGGGCTACTTGTTGGGACCCTGGATACAGTGTTGGATAACAAGGTATATATCCTAGGATAAGGGTGGGATATTGTGGTCTCACAGGCTACTTGTTGGGACCCTGGATACAGTGTTGGATTGGGATGTATCCTAGGATAAGGGTGGGATATTGATAACAAGGGCTACTTGTTGGGACCCTGGATACAGTGTTGGATAACAAGGGATATCCTAGGATAAGGTTGGATATTGTGGAGGTGGTCTCACTGGGCTACTTGTTGGGACCCTGGATACAGTGTTGGATAACAAGATAGATATTCTGGGATAAGGGTGGATATTGTGGAGGTGGTCTCACTGGGCTACTTGTTGGGACCCTGGATACAGTGTTGAGTATGATAACTAGGATAAGGTAGATGTCCTAGGATAAGGGTGGATATTGTGGAGGCGGTCTCACTGGGCTACTTGTTGGGACCCTGGATACAGTGTTGGATAACAAGGTAGATATCCTAGGATAAGGGTGGGATATTGTGGAGGAGGTCTCACAGGGCTACTTGTTGGGACCCTGGATACAGTGTTGGATAACAAGGTATATATCCTAGGATAAGGGTGGGATATTGTGGTCTCACAGGGCTACTTGTTGGGACCCTGGATACAGTGTTGATAACAATGTATATATCCTAGGATAAGGGTGGGATATGGAGGCGGTATCACAGTGCTACTTGTTGGGACCCTGGATACAGTGTTGGATAACAAGGTATATATCCTAGGATAATGGTGGGATATTGTGGTCTCACAGGGCTACTTGTTGGGACCCTGGATACAGTGTTGATAACAATGTATATATCCTAGGATAAGGGTGGGATATGGAGGTGGTCTCATAGGGCTACTTGTTGGAACCCTAGATACAGTGTTGGATAACAAGATAGATATCCTGTTATAAGGATGCATATTGTGGAGGCGGTCTCACAGGGCTACTTGTCGGGACCCTGGATACAGTGTTGGATAACGAGGTAATGTCCTAGGATAAGGGTGGGATATGGAGGCGGTATCACAGGGCTACTTGTTGGAACCCTAGATACAGTGTTGGATAACAAGATAGATATCCTGTTATAAGGATGGATATTGTGGAGGCGGTCTCACAGGGCTACTTGTCGGGACCCTGGATACAGTGTTGGATAACGAGGTAATGTCCTAGGATAAGGGTGGGATATGGAGGCGGTATCACAGGGCTACTTGTTGGAACCCTAGATACAGTGTTGGATAACAAGATAGATATCCTGTTATAAGGATGGATATTGTGGAGGCGGTCTCACAGGGCTACTTGTCGGGACCCTGGATACAGTGTTGGATAACGAGGTAATGTCCTAGGATAAGGGTGGGATATGGAGGCGGTATCACAGGGCTACTTGTTGGAACCCTAGATACAGTGTTGGATAACAAGATAGATATCCTGTTATAAGGATGGATATTGTGGAGGCGGTCTCACAGGGCTACTTGTCGGGACCCTGGATACAGTGTTGGATACTTGAGGTAATGTCCTAGGATAAGGGTGGGATATGGGAGGCGGTATCACAGGGCTACTTGTTGGAACCCTAGATACAGTGTTGGATAACAAGATGTGGAGGATCCTGTTATAGGGGACCCTGGATACAGTGTTGGATAACAAGGTAATGTCCTAGGATAAGGGTGGATGTTGTGGAGGCGGTCTCACAGGGCTACTTGTTGGGACCCTGGATACAGTGTTGGATAACAAGGTAGATGTTCTAGGATAAGGGTGGATATTGTGGAGGCGGTATCACAGGGCTACTTGTTGGAACCCTAGATACAGTGTTAACAAGGATAACAGGATAGATATCCTGTTATAAGGATGGATATTGTGGAGGTGGTCTCACAGGGCTACTTGTTGGGACCCTGGATACAGTGTTGGATAACAAGGTAGATGTCCTAGGATAAGGGTGGTTATTGTGGAGGAGGTCTCACAGGGCTACTTGTCGGGACCCTGGATACAGTGTTGGATAACAGGTAATGTCCTAGGATAAGGGTGGTTATTGTGGAGGAGGTCTCACAGGGCTACTTGTTGGGACATGGATACAGTGTTGGATAACAAAGTAATGTCCTGGGATAAGGGTGGGATATGGAAGAGGAGGTCTCACCCTTACATGGCTGTTTGTTCAGACCTTAAACACAGTGTTGGATCACAAATCTGATACATGTGGAGCTGGTAAAGATGTATGTGGGGTTGGTTAGGATATTGAAGAGGTTGTCTCACAAGGATACATTTATAGGTACCTGGATGAGTTTAATCACTGTTGTTAGCAGATGAAGGTATAACCATTGCATTCCTTCTTCCAGACATATCCGTACCGGATTCTTCATCAGACACCAGGATCTGAAGTTAGTTACTGTGAGTAAATACCTTCAGTAAAATTACATTGATATGCTACCACAATAACTTGTCCTGTTGAAAAACTAGTTAGCTAATACTTGAGAACTTGAGGCAGTTCTAGGGATGTACCACTTCCTTACAGCAATGACACCATGAAGATCTGGGTTAAAATTGATCTTCAGTAACCCATACCTGTCGTAAAAGGCGATTAGCAGGATCAGGCTCGCTGACTGGGTTGACACATGTCATCATTTCCCAGTTGTGTAGATCGATGCTCATGCTGTTAATCACTGGATTGTCTGGTCCAGACTCGATTATTTACTGACCGTCGCCATGAACATGATGAAGCTGGAATATTGCTGAGTGCAGTGACTAAACTCACTCGCTTATAATGTTGTTCAATGAATATGATGATTCAGTGTAGATACTATTGTGATGAAGGTTAGGGGGCGGTGGGTAGTCTAGTGGTTAAAGCGTTGGCTCGTCACACCGAAGACCCGGGTTCGAAGTCCCTACATGGGTACAATGTGTGAAGCCCATTTCTGGTGTCCCCCGCCGTGATATTGCTGGGATATTGCTGAAAGCGGTGTAAAACCAATCTCAGTCAGTCAGTCAGTTCGTGATGAAGGTTATCAGTTATCCTCTTGCTCGATACCAGTGATCACATAGCGGCAAATTTCTTTGAGAGGCATTTAGAAGTTGGAGCAGTAAGGAAGGATAACAATATATTGATAAACAACTTCTTTATCGCTGTGAGAGCAACATTTCGATGTTAGAACCTACACCGAAACATCGCTCTCACAGCAATAAAGAAGTTGTTCATCCATATATTGTTATCCTTCCTTAGATGCAAATTGCTGATGCATTAAACAACAAACAGTTGCATCACCTTCCATAATACTGACAGGCCATGTTAAAAGAACACTATATCATTAAGTGCTGCTCTGTGTTCATGACAGATTCATGGTGATGATGCTGTAGCAGATGTTGGGTTCCATATAAAACTGAAACATGATATCGCCAACTGTGGACATGTAGGCTCTAATGTTGTTCAACTTTGCGTCTGCAGCTGTTGCCGTGGCGACCAACAAGCGGGAAATCAGCAAGGACTGGGAATGGCTGGAACAGCATCTAATGCAGACGCTTAGTAAATACCAGTGTTTGTTTATGTTGTTTTTAGGTTTACAGTGACAGCCATGAGACTGTATTCTAACAAAACTTTTAAAACAATCTGAAATCTTGTCATGGTTATCATGGTTTTTATGACTATCCCACAAAGTTGGAATTTTTTTTTTTAGATTCTGTCAAAGAGACATCTTTTTATTACATCTGAACATGCTGCAAAGCCTCTTTTTCAAACCCTGTATGAATACTTACATGTTCTCAGAAGAATGTATCATCAAGTAAGAAACTTTAACAAATATTGTTAAAAGAAAATGTGTCTGAAATGTGTATTTTATGTTTTTATTATGCCTCTTACTGTGCAGGATTTGTAAATCTGAAGTTGTTCAGATCAGTTTTGATCGAACTTGATAGTCAGCTGACCATGGCATATATATTTCCATTTTGCATGAAATCAGAGTTATTTCCCTTGTGTATGTCCTCTGTACATTAGAGTTACTTCCCTTTCTTATCCAGGTGCCTTTGAGAGTGACGAGGAGTCAACAGACTTTGTACGTTGCAAGATTGAGAGCTTGCTGGCCAACAGGGTTGTGCTCAAAGAAGGTCATTGTTTTAACCTTATATTTCCATAGGGCAACAGTGTAAACATTCTGAAGTCAGTTATTAAGTGTACCAGAAAGATTGCAATTTTCTAAACCCAGTATTAATGGAATTAACAGTTTGAATAAACCTATAACTGGATTATTCTTGAAGTTATATTTGATGTTTTGATATATTTGTTGATCACTTCTGTATTTCTTTCACAGATGAGGAAACTGAGAGGTTCAAATCTGCTACCAAGAAGTTCAGGAAATTATTCAATATGCCAAAGGAAGAAAAACTTGTTAATTGTAAGTGTATCATTATTTGTTTCATCTTTTGATTATTGTCCCCCGCCGCAACACGGAACAAGGGACTATGTATTCAGCAGCGTCTGTATGTACATACGTCCCGATTCTTGTTCAAGGTCACCATTACTGTTTGACCACTTTTATAACTCTTGTTAATGTGATCTCTCATGATCTGTTGTACCCAATGTCTTCCGATTTGGTGACAGCCTACATTGGGGATTATGCAGACACCAGTCGATTTGGGTGACCTTGACCTTATTTTCAAGATCACCACGACACGACCACTTTTCAAACTCTTGTTAATGCAATATCTCGTGCACTATTGTACCCAATGTCTTCAAATTTGGTGACAGCCTACATTTGGGATTACACAGACACCAGCTGAGTTTGGTGACCTTGACCTTATCTTCAAGGCCACCATGACACTTTGACCACTTTTCAAGGCAAGGTGCCGAGACAGGGCTGGATGTATCAGAGAGTCTATGATGTCTGTTGATGATATTTCAGACTATTCCTGCAGCTACTGGAAGGGCAAGGTGCCGAGACAGGGCTGGATGTATCTGAGTGTGAATCACCTCTGCTTCTACAGCTTCCTGATGGGCAGAGAGGCCAAACTCATCCTCAGGTGGACGGACATCACGGTCAGTAAAACCCAAACTCCACTGCTTGTAGCTCACCTGGTCCAAATGTTGTGATGTTTGTCACTTGCCTATGTGCCAACATTTATGTTCTTGGCATGATTCCAGAAACTAGATGGCTTGTTCATGATGTTGAAGCTTCAGATTAAATAATGGATTCAGCTTTGGCGTCTCTAGAAGTTTACTATGGTTGCCATGTCAGCAATATAAAAATTGTCATGTGTGCCTAATACGAAGAAAATTTTGTATATATGAACTTAAAATATGATATACGATACACATATGGCATGTGGAATTGCATCCAAGTTTGATTTAGGAGTGTATTGACTGTTGCCCCAGCTGCATATTATTATGACATATACAAGGGGGTGGTTGGGTAGCCTATTGGTTAAAGTGTTCGCTCATCATGCCGAAGACCCGGGTTTGATTCCCCACTTGGGTACAATGTATGAAGACCATTTCTGCTATCCCCCACCGTGATATTGCTGGAATATTGCTCAAAGAGGTGTAAAGCTGAACTCACTCAGTCACTGTGACATATTCATGCTGTTTGTTGTATATTATTCATATCTGTTTGATCTGTGTACTTGTTTACGATGAGCTATATCTTGTATTGGGGCAGTGGGGTAGCTATGTGGTTAAAGTGTTCCCTTGTCAAGCCTAAGACATGGGTTTGATTCTTCACATGAAGCTGCTTCTGGAGTTGCTCCTGCTGGGATTGAGTGACATACTGAGTGAGTGAGTTTAGTTTTACGCCACACTCAGCAATATTCCAGCTATATGGCAGTTGTCTATAAATAATCAAGTCTGGACCAGACAATCCAGTGATCAACAGCATGAACATCGATCTACGCAATTGGGATATGATGACGTGTGTCAACCAAGTCAGCGAGCCTGACCAACCGATCCCGTTAGTCGTCTCTTACGAAAAGCATGGGTTACTGAAGATCAATTCTAAACCGGATCTACATACTGATTAAAGTAGCATAAAATCCAACTCTCTCACTCTCCCACTCTCTCACTCTCTCACTCTCCCACTTTCTGCTTCCAGAAACTGGACCGAGGCAACAACATGTTGTTCCCCGACAGTGTCAAGGTGTCGACCCGCGAGGCTGATGTAAGTACACACTCACATATGGTAATCCAGGCAACTTTCCAGGATACAACACCATGTGCCACTTGTTGGAAATTGGGTGGGTGAATTTAGGTCTCAAAGAAAGGTTATATGAAGTCCCTGACATGGGTTATATTATATCCCTCACACAGGTGAGTGTAGGTCCCCATCATGAGGTAGATTTGGTCCCTAACATGGGTTAGGTCCCCTACACTCTACTGCTTGTTGGGGGCGGTGAGGTAGCCTAGTGGTTTGGTCCCGGTTTGAATCCCCACATGGGTTCAATGTGTGAAGCCCATTTCTGTCCCCTACGTGAAGTTGCTGGAATATTGCTTGTGGTAAATCCAAAACTCAGTCAGTCTGCTGCTTGTTGTAACAACTGACTTGGATGGGGTGATAACACTTTGACATTGTTCACTGCATGTCAGTAATATAACACAACACTGTTTCTGTTTTCAGCACTTCTTCTCAATGCTGCTTCACAGTAATGAGTCCTACCGCCTGATGGAGCAGCTGGCCAATATGGCCATGAGACAGTGAGTAGTAGGAACTGTTGTTAATATATAGAGGATATTTGTAAGTTTGTCTCAAATAACATGGTTATCTCAGTGGATGACCTGATAAATTTGATATTGTCATGAGTGGTGCAGCCATGAGGGAAAGTGTCAGCGTTGTCAGGTCACTATATATGACCAGGGTTCACAGGGCTTGAAAAAGCCTGCAATTTGGACTTTTTATCCTAAAAAGGCCCTCAATTTGTTTCAGCCTTGAAAAGGCCCTAATTGCCAGTTATTTGCCCTTGAAATGGCTCTATATTTATTAAAACATGTCAAGTTATGATTTTACAGGAAACTAATGCATAATAGAAATAGCTTGCAATGACAGTGGGTGTAATTAATCTTTATTGCAAAGTCAAACTTACCCAGTGCAGTGATGTAGCTAAGAATAACTTTCTGTCTGATGGTCGGTCCCACATTGACCAACCTTGTGTGTATTTAACTGCTTTTGTGTTATGTCCGTTTCTGTAGTTCCTTAAAATGGTTGATTGGGTCTTGAAAAGCCCTAAAAAAGCCTTAAATCTGATTGCTGATAATCTGTACAAACCCTGATGGTGGACTGAGGAAGCTTGTGATGTCACATCAAATTCTGTTTTGTCCAACTGCTGTACAGTCTGATAGCTAGAGATTATGACCAGTACTGAGATCAGTTGAGTCCAGCCTAGGTAATCACATTACCATATACTTTGTTCAAGGCTATGTAACAAATTCATTATACCTTTCATGCAGGAGTGATCTTCATATGTACACTCTACCTGCGTGCAGGTTGTGCAGCCCAGTGGTTAGTGTGTTTGCTCCTCATACCTAAGGCCTGGGTTTGAGTCCCAGTGTGGTACAATGTGCATGGTGTGAGAAGCTCATTTTTGATGACTCGACGTGATGCATCTTGACACATGCTGAACTGCATTTGATACACAGATATTTTTGTGGCAGTGCACCTCTAATTGCTGTTGATATTTTTCAGATTGATGCAAGAGGGTGGATTTGAAGAAGATACTTCCATTTCCACCAGAACCAAGTAAGTTGTCATGACTAGAAACTTGAAGATTAGGGTTAGAATTGGTCTTGTCGTTAAAGGGTATCAGTGGGTTGGGATTGTCAGATATATTGACTTTTTTATGCACATTTTCTTGGCATCATAATTCATGACCTTCTGGTATGTTTGTAGACGGAAGACCTCAAGGAAGATGTCATCGCTCAAAAGGGACCTTGATGCTAGAGCTCGCAGTGAGGCTTTCAGGTAATTCATCATTAGGAAATCTCATAAAAATCTCTCTGATACTAGTACAGCGCAATCATGCTTTTCTATAGGCTTCCAGTGTGAAGCATTCAGACTAGTGTTTGTGTGTCTTATCTCAAAATTTGGCAGTTCTATATGAAACACTATGAAGTACACATTACTGAATTAGGGGCAGTGGGGTAGCCTAGAGGTTAAAGTGTTTGCTTGTCACATTGAAGGCTTGGGTTGCATTCCCTGCATGGTTACAATATTTAAAGCCATTTCTGGTGTCCCCTGTCATGATATTGCTGTAATGTTACTAAAAGCAGCATAAAACCCAACTCAATCACACACTTACTCAACTCTTTGTTCGAGAATCAAGGTGCCCCAATATGGGCGTGGATCATTGATCAGACACTTGATTGTCTGGTCCAGTCTGAATGATTTGGCCGTATTTGGCTAATATACTGCCAAGTATGTTGTTAAAATAATTATCAAGCAAGACAGTTAATGAATCAGCTGATGTTGGTTTCAGACAAGCGCTCCGGCTGCCAGATGGGGACAAGCTGGATGGGGATGAAGAGTGTACGCTGTGGACGCCCTACAACAAGCAGCACGTGTGGGGACGGGTGTACCTCAGCAACAACTACCTGTGTTTTGCTAGTCGGGTTGGTATCCCAGTAAGTTGCACAGTTACCTCCCTTGGCTTTGGTGCTTTCCATCTGCTATTCTTAAACACCATTTCTGTCACAAAAATAACAGATATCTTTGATCAAGACTATTTCTTTTGGAATTAGAAGAGCAATAATATATTTTTGACATCGTTACAAATAAATAAATTGGTCATCATCCTTCCTTGCTTCACAGTTTTGTGCCCAAATCGCCATGTTTGATCCGTACTGTATGCAGTCCGACTGTGCATTCCTGCTGCACGTGATTCACATTTGGTAAAAGTTAAAAAGATCAGATGTAGCATATAAAGTTCCACCCATCTCACATTTCATATTTAAAAAAAAAATATGTTAAACCCTCGGTAAGGTTAATGAAGGCCGATTATCTTTTCAGTGAAAGTGGCTTTTTGAAATTGTTGTTTTATCAAATAGGAAAAAGAAAGTGAAGACTTCATCTGAATCTGAACGTGTTGTGGAAATGCTTTAAAATCAAGTCTGAATTTCCATTACAGAATGACTGGCAAATTGATTATATTTAAGAAAAATTGTTATTTTTACAATTGAACAAGGTAGTTAATGTCAACCGACAGCCAATCATGTTTAATTAAATCTGATTTTGTTGACTAAGCTGGTGGAGATGCATCTTTTATCTTCCTCTGCTATCCTGACTTTCTTTCCCATCCCACACTTTGAGCATGGTCTATGTATGTATGATTGCCTCTGTGACCTGGTGGGGTAGACAAGTGGTTAAAGCATCCACTCGTCACGCTGAAGACCTGGTGTAGCAGGCCATTCCTTCCCCGGTCTAAACTTTCCCCAGGGAGAATCTGGCCTAGGCCAAACTTTCCCCCGGGGAGGTTTTGTCATAGGATATTCTTACAGTGGGGAAAGATTGGGCTTGGCTAAAAGCGTCCCCCTCCTCCTGGCCAAACTTTCCCCCCTGTTTAAACTAGGATATTTTGTTCTGTTTAAAGTGGGGAGATTCTGGCCCAGCTAGGCTACTTCTTCCCCACCCTTGTTCTTAAATCAAAAGGGGAAGATGCTGGCCAAGCTAGGCAAATTCTTCCCCACCCATGTAAATTGTTAATGGAACTTGACGTTAACATGAATATCTTATCAATGTGTTCACGTGAAAATCTATGTCTTGTTTTCGTTTCTGACATTTTCAAGACGAACATAAACATGAAAACAAGAAATAGCCTAGCTTGGCCAGAATCTACCCCTTTTGATATAAGAACAACGGTATGAAACAAGTAGCCTTTAAAGTTGATTCAGGGGTGGGGAAAATTAAGCCTAGGGGAGGGAAAGTTTGGCCTAGGCTAAAGTTTCCCCGGGGAAGGTTTGGCCAGGGGAAAAGTTTGGCCCTGTTACACCGGGTTCAATTCCCCACATGGGTACATTATGTTAAGTCGATTTTTGGTGTCCCCGCTGTGATGTTGCTGGAATATTACTAAAAGAGGTGTAAAACCATACTCACACACTCACTCTGTGGCCTAGTGGATAGGGTGTCTGCACTGACTGGAAGGTCAGTAGTTTGATCCCCATCCATGTGATACCAGAAGATGGGAAAGATGGTACTTGTTGTTATCTTGACTGGTCATCAGTGGGATAAAACAAGGACTGGTTGGTGCGGAGTCAGTATCTCAGTGGACTAGCACTCACCGGCATTAGTCTGGACAAGTGCAAGCTGTCGTTTGTTGAATGGTTATTGTTTATTGTAGGATATTTATATAGCACATATCCACGCACTAGTGCATGCTCAAGGCGCTGGTGTTTTTTCCCTCGATCATTGGATGTCAATCTCAACGGCACATCTTATTATCAATCTCAACTCCCTGGGGAGCATACAACTCTTGCTGCCAGAAGGCGCACCGAGTTATTGGGGCTTAGCCATCCTTACGAGGAACCCATTCACAGCTGGGTGGACTGGGACCCATAGTCACAGGACTTTGTCCAAGTTTACTGCACGTTGCTATACCCACAACTAGGTGTATGCACATATTCATGTGGCCACCATCTGGTCATATACCAACAGATTTGTGGGTTCTTTTAAGTGCACAGGGTTGTGAACTGTACACTAGGGGTTGTGACAACACTGAAAGCGTCTACACACAAAGCTGACTCGAAGGAGTTTCACCCGGTCACAGGTGGGCTTGATCCCGGCACCTCATGCCCGCTGGATCACTAGCCTGGTGCCTTAACCACCTCGCCCACCACGCCAAGGTCTCCTGGCATTTGTTATATGAGTGTAATTTTGATGTTCCATTTTTTTATGCCATACTGACTAGTGGTGTTCCGATTAATTGAAATAATTGAAGATTGGTCACAGTGACCAAACGACCAAGCAATCGATCACATTTTCTCATAATCGAACATAAACGATTTTTGAACTACCTTTTTAGTCTTTGAAACATTTGACAATGGAACACATCGTTGAAGTTGTCAGTGCCTGAAAACGTGTTTAATTCACAGAAAACTCACTTCACTAACTAAAAAGCCATGACTGAATATTATTTGAAGACTTCAGGAAGTTTATGTTCATAATATATAAGTCATCACCTTAAAGTAGCAAGTTGCATCATGTGATGCATATCTGCAGTAACAACCTGGATAGGAAAATCTGAAAAATGACGCTAACCAGTATTTTTCGATGATTGTTCGTTGGTAATGAAGCAATCATCAACTGTGAGATTTCAACCAATTCCCAACACTAATACTGACACATAAACCTTCTTTGCAGGTACGTGACCTTGTGACTGTTATAATCCCCCTCCGTGACATCCTGGTGGTGGAGAAGGTAGATAACTCTGTGTCTGGAAACCTGATACAGAAAGCACTGCATATAACAACCAAAGGCAAGGTGAGTTGGGACTGGTAAAAAAGAAATGATCTTCAGCAACCCATGCTTGTGGTCAGGCTCGCTGACTTGGTTGACACATGTAATCGTATTCCAACTGTGTAGATCAATACTTATGATGTTGATCACTGGATCGTCTTGTCCAGAATTGAAATAATAAAGACTGCTGTCACATAGCTGGAATATGTTTGAGTGCAGCGTTAAGCAACAAACAAACGATGTCCTTGAATTATGGGATTCAGAGGCATAATCAAGGGAGTGAGTGAGAGAGTGAGTATTGCTTAACACCGTATGAGCAATATTGCAGCTATTCGCGGCGAGCATAATCAAGGGTACCAGTCCTCTAGTCTAAGGTACTGCAAATTACAAGAGTTTCATGTGCTTATATCTGAGATCAAAGGTTAGAATCTCAGATTCTTCTCAGTTATGATAATTTCTTGTCTGACATGCTGTTATACAACTGAAACAGTGTTCAAAGAAGCATTTGTTTGATTCATTTTTGCATTCACAGTGGGCAGAACTGATCGTCAGCATTGCAGAGTTCTGTTTTGAAAATGTGAACAAATAAAATGGTGAGGTTTAGGATATTCAGACTAATAAGAGTAGGATTGGATGAACTTGTGTTACTCCATCTTTAAGGTTTAAACAAGAAGGTCAACAGACAATGATAGAAGAAATAATGTGAGATTGATGAAAACTTGAACATGTTGTTACCTTTTCTTTCAGATGAATTTCACATTTGCGCAGTTTGACGACAGGAACTTCATCCTGGAGAAGATATCCGACTTCCTCTCGAAGCAGTCAATAAACAGAAGGTAATACTGAAAATATTCAGTGATCAAACAGGACAGCATTTGTGTTCTTTGATATTACATCAATAAATCCACACTAACGTTGGTATACGTTACGTCTGAAATATAAGACATTAGTTTTGTCTGACATCTGACTTTTGATCTGCACCAGAACACCTGGGCCTAGATTTTCAAAGCTCTCTTATTTCTAAGATAGTCGTAAGTTGATGTTAATGTATGGCACTTACGACTATCGTAGCGCTAAGAGAGCTTCAAAAATCTAGCCCAGGTGTCCAATCATTCACTCACCCTGTCTGACTGACTGTTGTCTCTCTGTTTGACAGCAAGAGGAGGAGTACCAGCACATCATCTGACGGGAAAGGAAGCATCTCTGGTAAGACAAAAAAACTTTACGCTGAGGTGGGAATGGTTGGTTGGTTGGTTTATTGTTTTACGCCGCACTCAGCAATATTCCAGCTGTATGGCAGCGGTCTGTAAATAATTGAGTCTGGAGCAGACAGCCCAGTGATCAACAGCATGAGCATCAATCTACGTAATTGGGATATGATGACATGTGTCAATCAAGTCAGTGAGCCTGACCACCCGATCCAGTTAGTCGCCTCTTATGACAAGCATGGGTTCCTGAAGACCAATTCTAACTCGGATCTTTGCGGGTAGAGGTGGGAATGATGCAATTCTTGTTCCCAACTAAATATTAAGTAAAAATAATGTCTGAAATGTGATAGAGTAAAAACACTAATCTTCTTGAATGAAAGAGTTAACCTGCTGCAGTTTACTTTGTACCCATTGACTGAAAGTGTGAATTTTAACCTCATTGTATCACCATGGTTACTGTAAATGTAGATTGTGTACAAACACCTTTTTCAGAGGAGCCTGCTGAGGAACAGTTTCAGCCAGCACTCATCAGTCTGTTTTGTCGCAGAGACTCGGATGAGTTGTCTTCCAGAGAAACAGTCAAACAACACTTGTGGGATGTGTATTTCTCTGAATATGGCAGGTGGGTTGAGACACCAATGTCAAGGTCAAATGAACCTTTGTCTTGATCCTATCCACAATATCATTTAGGAACTGCTGGAGCTCTTTTGGAGATTTGGAATCGCTGTTCCTTAAATTCAGATTGGCTTAGGTTATGGATCTAGTAATTCTTGCAAAATCATTGCACATGTCTGCAAATGTGTTCCTCCAGGGAATCAGGTGACACAAATACCTAATGGTCAATAAATCCAGTCTCCATGGTTAGATGGATGGAGGTGGTGAATACCAGACATGTGAAATATTGTTGAGGGTAATAGGTTGTGTTCAAATGTCAAAATTGCTGCAATTCATAATGTAGAGTTACATCCCTTAGATTTGCCAGGATCTTATATGGATGACTGACTGACTGAGTTTGGATTTACTCCGCTTTTAGCAATATTCCAGCAACATCACGGCAGGGGACACCAGAAATGGGCTTTCACACATTGTGCCCATGTGGGGATTCGAACCCGGGTCTTCGGCTTGACGAACCAACGCTTTAACCATTAGGCTACCCCACCGCCCCTTATTTGGATGAGGGTAATGGGTTGTCCAGTTGTCAAAATTACTGCAGTTCATTGTATAGAGTTGCATCCCTTAGCTTTGCCAGGATCTTATGATGACATTTCTCAGATTAAGATCAACACAACTATCGTAACCCTTCTATGCTTTCTGGGTACATCACAACCACGTGTCTGATAATGCCTGTTATACCCCTCCCCAGGGGCATGTGTTCATACCGCACCCATCGGACCCTGGAGCTGATCCTGAAGGGCATCCCAGACAAGTACCGAGGGGAGACATGGATGATCTTCTCTGGCGCCCTGAATGAGGTAAGGCTGTCTCCTTGGTGTAGTAGGTAGAGAGACTGCACAGAGAATGGCAGGCTGGTGGTTTCAATCCCTGTCATAATACAGTGGATGACGTCGTCTATGTCATAATACAATGGATGACATCATATGTCAATACAGTGGATATATGTCATAATACAATGGATGATATCATATGTCATAGTACAGTGGATGACATATGTCATAATACAGTGGATGACATCTATGTCATAATACAATGGATGATATCATATGTCAATACAGTGGATATATGTCATAATACAATGGATGATATTGTATGTCATAATACAATAGATGACATCATATGTCATAATACAATGGATGAAATCTTATGTCATAATACAATGGATTACATCATATCCCAGCTAACATCACGTAACTTGGCTATTACTGGCCCAGTAAAGTCAGAACATCAGGCCCATTTGAGGCATTCCAGAACTGGGCCTGTACTATTTTGCACATTGGCGTTGAACTGGACCAATACAGGCAAAGTAGTATGGCCCAGTACACAGCCGTAACGGTGGCAAATTGGCCCTTTACAGTATGGCCGGCACTGGCCTGGTTAAGTTTAACACAGTTTCTACTATTTAAAACAAGCTGCTGATACGAAAACAAACTCTGAAAAGAAAAAAACCAGAAAGTTTATCTGTATGAGTTTAATTCATGAAAATAGATGAAAACATGATGCATGATTCTTTCATTGATTCAGAGTTCCTTGTCCTTCTGGATCAGCTTGTTCAACAGAAGTTTCAAAATTCAATTCACCTGATACAGTCTCTTTTTTAAGTATTTTCAAATTTGATTTACTATTCAGTCTTTCGATTTGTCCAGTATGACATGATTATCAAACAATACTATAATATAGTCCATATTTTGAATTTATGTTTTTGAATAAGGCATGTCAACAGGTTTTCCATGATCTAACAACATGACATAGATACTGAATGTTTCAAAATGTCCTTGTTCCTGCGAAATTCATACTGCATGTGTTATTGTTCAAAATTTAGCTCAACACTTAACCTTAGTTGAAAAAGTAGTCTCTATAAGTGATTCACAACAAATACTGTTACATTTTAGTGTCACTGTGATTAAGTCAATTTACATTCAGAAATGTGGGAAATGCCACACTCTACCTTTTGGCCACCTCTCTTGAGCAGACGACATGGTCCTGAGATAATCCCTCACAATTCACCAAACAGGAAGTGCACTGCCTGTACTGGGCCAGTACTGGGCCGGCACAGTATTGTGGTGCAGTATTTACAGTAATCACCCATATGGGGCCAGTACTGGCTCTATGCTGTCGTACATTATGCCAGTACCAACGGAACAGGCCAGAGTGATGTCAGTACTGACCCAGTTATGTGATGTTAGCTGTGATGTCATAATACAGTGGATGACATATGTCATAATACAATGGATGACATCTATGTCATAATACAATGGATGATATGTCATAATACAATGGATGACATCATATGTCATACAGTGGTTGACATCATATGTCATAATACAATGGATGACATCATCCATCATAATACAATGGACGACATATGTCATAACAATGGATGACATCTTATGTCATAATACAATGGATGACATCTTATGTCATAATACAATGGATGACATCTTATGTCATAATACAATGGATGACATCTTATGTCATAACACAATGGATGACATCTTATGTCATAATACAATGGATGACATCTGTCATACAGTGGTTGACATCTTATGTCATAATACAGCAAGTGACGTCTATGTATTATATGTTTGTTGCTCAATGTTGGATGTGATACCACTCAGTGATAGAGACATGGTTTTGTCTTTAAGATGAACACCAATCCCGGCTACTATGCAAATATTGTGAACCAAAGTAAAGGGAAATCCACCATTGCCACTGAGGAGATTGAAAGGGACTTACACAGGTACAGTTCTCCATGGGAGAGACAGATTGTTCATTTGTAGAAACTAAACACTGTCTATGTCTGTTTTTTTTAAAGGAAAAACTATCTTGTTGAATCAGAGAGTCTTGGGAACCATAGAAATGTCAGTAAATTATTATAAAAATGTAGAATGCTGACAAAACATGTCTAAGATACAGTCGTGCCCCGTTTATCCGAACCTCAGATATCCGGAAAACTCGCCTTCCGAACGAAAATTCATTAAAACCAATTCACAACGTTGTAAAACTACTCACTTAACCGGAAATCCGGTTTCCGTAACCGGATGGTCATTTTCACATACCAAATGCTAAATCATATGCATTTTTTTCTCGTATATCCGGATGGCTGAGCACCTGTCAGTATGTTTACACGCGCATTTTACCGAGTGGCCTTGCGTGCCCTAACATGAAACAAGGGTTACAAGCCGGCATTCTTTGAAGGGTGAGAGGATTAACTGCCCTTAATTAGCAAGGTGACACTGAGTTAATCTTGAGGCCTGTCAATTGTTAATGGCAAGGCTAGACGTCCCCGTTGTTTTGGCAGTGATTTCAATCCGGAGGTTTGTGTTGGGTACAGGAACAATGCAAAAGCGTGGATGACATCAGAACTGATTCGTGATTGGTTGCTAGCATTTGACAGACAGATGAGATTAACTTCTTACTGTATATGAAGCTCTTTGTGATTTCAAACAAGCTGGGTTGTTGTAAATGAGATGATTGAGTGTTAAGTTACTATTTGCTTCATGATGTACTGGTAAATAAAATCTTAATGAATAAATAAAATACTGCTGTATTATTTCTTTCCGAAGTCGCTTCATGGTAATCTGTTTTGTATCAAACCATCTGTCATGTGACCAATTTCCATGGCGCCACAACACACATTGCTGTTTTCGCTAATTCGCATTGGATTTGGCTCATTATTTAATTATGTTTTGGGAAATCCATTACAGTTTACAGTTAAGTATGATTCTTTATGCTACTATCAGTCGTCATTTTAAGATTCCCGTAGATTTCTGTCTTCAAACTTGATGTGTTATGGTAACAACTCAGGGGCGAGCGTGGCTAGACTGAATGAATGACAGGTTTATTCGTGGTGTATTAATTTTCGCGCTAAAATGTTTTGCGCGAAAATAAAACCTGCGTGAAATATAATACGTTTACAGTATTTGTTATTTGTTGATCAATCAATCAATACAGAATACGTCTGAGGCTTATTATGTTCGTTTGTTTGTTTGTCTTTTTCCATATGGTCCTCGGTTCAGATATCCGAAAATTCGTTTATCCGAACAATTTCAAGAAAAACACAAGTGTTCGGATAAACGGGGCACGACTGTATAACACTTTCTGGTGATTTGATAAAGACATTGTTTGATAGGCATTTTAGAAGTTGGTGAGTCAATAAAAAAGCATACTCCTTTTGGATATCAACTTTCTGTTTATTGCGAAACATCGGTCTATGCAATAAACAAGAAGTTGTTATCTAGAAAGTCGTATGCTTTATTAAGGTCTAGACATGGTCAGTGTGTCGAACCAGACATTGTTTTTGAATGATTTGGTATTACTGAAAAATCGACAGATGTAAAATGAAGTCTGTAAACAAAGCAGGTTTTGAATTACTATTATGTTGCTGAGACAGTCGCCCTGAGTTTTCCTGTCTGTACATCTCCCGGACGTTCTGTTGACCAGATCCCTGCCAGAGCATCCAGCCTTCCAGACTGACCTTGGCATAGGGGCGCTGCGGAGGGTGCTGACGTCGTATGCCTGGAGGAACCCCAACATAGGTGAGGCTGTGTATATGTGTTTGGGAGGTGACACTTGGGCTTAAATCAGTTCTCCTTCAGCAGAAACAGTGTCTGGACTAACCGTCTCCTGGCTATCCCATAGCTGGTAACATTTCTGGTGTGATGTTTCTGGCTCATTGACTTTGGAGAATAACATGATGCTCAGAATACCAACCACTGTTTTGTTTGGCCTGGACACAATAATTTTGAGTTACGATGGTATGGCTGGTGATGATGAACGTTGAAATGAGCTTGTTGCATCTTTGTTTCAGGCTACTGTCAAGCTATGAACATCGTGACGAGTGTGTTGCTGCTGTATACAAGTGAGGAGGAGGCTTTCTGGCTGCTGACGGCAATCTGTGAGAGACTCCTGCCGGACTACTACAACACTAAGGTGGTCGGGGCGCTCATTGACCAAGGTATGGCTGGTTGTAGTCTGAACACACTCACCTCTAGTAGCACTCAGTCTCAGACCATGGCTGATTACAAGGTTATCTGTTGTGGGAATGACAATGTGGTGTTGACTGTTGCAGGTGTGTTCGAGGAACTGATCCGTGACTACATCCCTAGCCTGTACCAGAAGCTGGACACCCTTGGATTGTTGTCGATGATCTCCCTGTCCTGGTTCTTAACCATCTTCCTCAGGTACTGTTACTGGTAGCCGTGATCAATTCCCTTAGTAGACATCTGGTTGTGCTGGTTCTTAACCATCTTCCTCAGGTACTGTTACTGGTAGCCATGATCACCTCACTTAGTAGACATCTGGTTGTGCTGGTTCTTAACCATCTTCCTCAGGTACTGTTACTGGTAGCCATGATCACCTCACTTAGTAGACATCTGGTTGTGCTGGTTCTTAACCATCTTCCTCAGGTGCTGTTACTGGTAGCCATGATCACCTCACTTAGTAGACATCTGGTTGTGCTGGTTCTTAACCATCTTCCTCAGGTACTGTTACTGGTAGCCATGATCACCTCACTTAGTAGACATCTGGTTGTGCTGGTTCTTAACCATCTTCCTCAGGTGCTGTTACTGGTAGCCATGATCACCTCACTTAGTAGACATCTGGTTGTGCTGGTTCTTAACCATCTTCCTCAGGTGCTGTTACTGGTAGCCATGATCACCTCACTTAGTAGACATCTGGTTGTGCTGGTTCTTAACCATCTTCCTCAGGTACTGTTACTGGTAGCCATGATCACCTCACTTAGTAGACATCTGGTTGTGCTGGTTCTTAACCATCTTCCTCAGGTGCTGTTACTGGTAGCCATGATCACCTCACTTAGTAGACATCTGGTTGTGCTGGTTCTTAACCATCTTCCTCAGGTACTGTTACTGGTAGCCATGATCACCTCACTTAGTAGACATCTGGTTGTGCTGGTTCTTAACCATCTTCCTCAGGTGCTGTTACTGGTAGCCATGATCACCTCACTTAGTAGACATCTGGTTGTGCTGGTTCTTAACCATCTTCCTCAGGTGCTGTTACTGGTAGCCATGATCACCCCACTTAGTAGACATCTGGTTGTGCTGGTTCTTAACCATCTTCCTCAGGTGCTGTTACTGGTAGCCATGATCACCTCACACTTAGTAGACATAACCATCTTCCTCAGGTGCTGTTACTGGTAGCCATGATCACCTCACTTAGTAGACATCTGGGTTGTGCTGGTTCTTAACCATCTTCCTCAGGTGCTGTTACTGGTAGCCATGATCACCTCACTTAGTAGACATCTGGTTGTGCTGGTTCTTAACCATCTTCCTCAGGTGCTGTTACTGGTAGCCATGATCACCTCACTTAGTAGACATCTGGTTGTGCTGGTTCTTAACCATCTTCCTCAGGTGCTGTTACTGGTAGCCATGATCACCTCACTTAGTAGACATCTGGTTGTGCTGGTTCTTAACCATCTTCCTCAGGTGCTGTTACTGGTAGCCATGATCACCTCACTTAGTAGACATCTGGTTGTGCTGGTTCTTAACCATCTTCCTCAGGTACTGTTACTGGTAGCCATGATCACCTCACTTAGTAGACATCTGGTTGTGCTGGTTCTTAACCATCTTCCTCAGGTGCTGTTACTGGTAGCCATGATCACCTCACTTAGTAGACATCTGGTTGTGCTGGTTCTTAACCATCTTCCTCAGGTGCTGTTACTGGTAGCCATGATCACCTCACTTAGTAGACATCTGGTTGTGCTGGTTCTTAACCATCTTCCTCAGGTACTGTTACTGGTAGCCATGATCACCTCACTTAGTAGACATCTGGTTGTGCTGGTTCTTAACCATCTTCCTCAGGTGCTGTTACTGGTAGCCATGATCACCTCACTTAGTAGACATCTGGTTGTGCTGGTTCTTAACCATCTTCCTCAGGTGCTGTTACTGGTAGCCATGATCACCTCACTTAGTAGACATCTGGTTGTGCTGGTTCTTAACCATCTTCCTCAGGTACTGTTACTGGTAGCCATGATCACCTCACTTAGTAGACATCTGGTTGTGCTGGTTCTTAACCATCTTCCTCAGGTGCTGTTACTGGTAGCCATGATCACCTCACTTAGTAGACATCTGGTTGTGCTGGTTCTTAACCATCTTCCTCAGGTGCTGTTACTGGTAGCCATGATCACCTCACTTAGTAGACATCTGGTTGTGCTGGTTCTTAACCATCTTCCTCAGGTACTGTTACTGGTAGCCATGATCACCTCACTTAGTAGACATCTGGTTGTGCTGGTTCTTAACCATCTTCCTCAGGTGCTGTTACTGGTAGCCATGATCTGGTAGTAGACATCTGGTTGTGCCTCCACTTAGTAGACATCTGGTTGTGCTGGTTCTTAACCATCTTCCTCAGGTGCTGTTACTGGTAGCCATGATCACCTCACTTAGTAGACATCTGGTTGTGCTGGTTCTTAACCATCTTCCTCAGGTACTGTTACTGGTAGCCATGATCACCTCACTTAGTAGACATCTGGTTGTGCTGGTTCTTAACCATCTTCCTCAGGTGCTGTTACTGGTAGCCGTGATCAATTCCCTTAGTAGACATCTAGTTGTGCTCTGGGGCGGTTGGGGAGCCTTATGGTTAAAGCGTTGGCTCGTCACGCCGAAGACCAAGGTTCGAATCCCCACATGGGCACAATGTGTGAAGCCCATTTCTGGTGTCCCCCGCCGTGATGTTGCTGGAATATTGCTAAAAGCGGCGTAAAACCAAACTCACAGTTTGCAGATCAGTAATCGAAGCTGAGTAATCCTCTTATAATGTGATATCACTGGAACAATTCTAAATGTGACACAAAACAATACATATTAACTCACTACAGCTCAAGAGGGAAAGGATAATTGTAAAATATGTCTATGCCAACATTTCTTGATATGTGATGAGATGAGGTTTGTTTCAGTGTGATGCCATTCAACTGTGCCGTCAACATCTTGGACTGCTTCTTCTTTGATGGCGCCAAGGTAAAGCAGCATATTTAAGGTTAATAAGAACTAACGTCTGAAATAACAAACTGTTATTATAGTTGCCAGATGAGAGATGAGTCGCCCCTGTGAGAACCCAGGTCAAAATAGGTCCCCATCTGATATACATGGGGTGGTCACATGACATGGTTAATTGTGTTATATCACAGCCTGTTTGGTATTGCCTGTAGTATCATTAACAGCTGGAAGGCATCATTGTAAATGTAAAGTGTATCGTCAGTATACCACAGTACAGTCGCTATATAAATTTGAACTCACTTCACAGGGCTGTACACTAGGGCTGCAATGAATTCATTGCGAGAGATAAATATGATACACATAGTGAATATAGGGTAACGGATATGATTAAATTACTATTACAGGTGATATTTCAAATAGCTTTAACCATCCTGGACAACAAGAGCAGCGAGCTGCTGGGCTGTGCGGAGGACGGAGAGGCCATGACTGTCCTCTGTCAGTATCTGGAGAACGTGACAAACAGAGATTCCACCATGCCACAGGTCCAACACACCTCCAACATGTCACGCTCACAGGATCAGGTAGGAGTACTCTCTCTCAGTGGCTGCTACGTTTGTTAAATTACTAACTCACTTCTGTTTAGGCTAACAAAATTCATAGGTGATCATCTGGAAGGTCCCAACTGTCTGGTAGTTACCTGTGTAATTGAATGACTTGCGTTATTGGGGTCACTGGAATGATAGAGGATCATCCAGACAGGCCTGTCACTGTAACATTAAACCTGTGATGAATTTTGGTAAGCATTGCTTGTCTTAGGAGGCGGCTGACAGGATCCTGTGGTCAGGCCTGACAATATGGGTGACATTGATGCTCATGATGTCGGTCACTGGATTGTTAAGTCCAGACTAATTTATTTACAGGCCACCGTGAAATAGCTGAAATATAGCTGAGTGCAGTCAAACAAAAGGAAAGTAGGTGCTCAAGCTGTCAACCACTGGTTTGTCTGATCCAAGCTGGATAGGTCCTAATGCTTGTGAGTCCTGGGTTCGCAGGTATCAGTTTCTGGGGTGTGATACGTATCATACGTATCCACATGCTCTTAAACACACTTACACCCACACCCACACTTTAACCACCCGACCATTAATCCACTAACTCTCTCTGTATTTCAGTCGTCTGTTGATGTGACAGATTTGATTGATAGCAGCTACAGGAAGTTTGGCATCATCACCAATCAGGACATTGAGCGACTTCGTCTCAAGTACAGACTCAGAGTTGTACAGGTAGGTGGCCCTTCAATCATTAACTAATAATTCACATGGGCAATTAGTATTGTTTGTCCTGTCTAATGATAAAAACTTTGAAGTGGATTTTGAAAATAGTGTAGAATTTGTGCATTGGCATATCCAGGAGATTGTCTTCGTTCATGGCCCCATTTTATTCAGTGCTTTCAGCAATGTCGCCCAGTTTTTCACCAGTAAGAGTTTAGTGAGAAATAACATTGATAATCACTGATTGTTTCAGACAATTGAGGACAACGTGATGAAGAACATTGTCCGCAGTGTGTCATCTGATACGCTGTTTGAAGGCAAGGAGCTGGCTGACCTCTACATTCTCTTCAAGGTCAGTGATACACTCATGATGATGTTGATATGAAGTCACATGGTAATGCATGCATGAGGTGGGAAACCTCTTTTTAATGTGTGTGCAGAAGTAAACATGATAAGCAAGGAAATATTTCCCTGTATATTTAGCTCACAATTGGTTTATCTTCCCTGTGAAACTATTAAAAATGTTCTCACAGTTATTCAGCATATTCACCAGTTATGAATCTGCTTTCTGAAGTATTTTTCATGTAAGTAGGGAGGTTCCTTGCACTAAGTCCAGTGAGATTCCTTTGTGTCCTCATCTCTCTTGTTACAGTATAGACAGGTGTTATACTGTGTTAGAAACCAGTGGTTTTGGTTGCCATGGAAACATGTAACATTGTATCTTGACATCACAGCTTCCAAGAACGATGTAATGATGGTTCCCATGGAGTGAATGCTGTGCCCAATTCCTTGAAACTATTGTAGCAAAGTGTGGGATCTATGATCACTTTAGTTCTGTTAATGCTTTGTGGAACAGACCCCTGACATCTTAGTGCCGTGAAGATCCGGGTTAGAATTGGTCTTCAGCAACCCATGGACCGCCTCCGTGGTGTACTGGTTAGAGCGTCCGCCTGGAGAACGGAAGGTCGCGGGTTCGATCCCCGACCGCGTCATACCAAAAGACGTTAAAATATGGTACTTGTTGGTCCCTGCCTGGCGCTCGGCATTAATGGGTACAACAAGGACTGGTCGGCTCGGAGTCAGTCTAATGTGTCTGAGTGGGGTATTCATGCTTCACTGCGGCATGGTATCTCAGTGGGCTAGCACTATAAAACCAGCTTAAGTCTGGGCTAGTGCAAGCAGCCGTACATACACATACACATGCATGCACGTCATCATATGAGCGAAATATTCTTAAACGCGACGTTAAACCCAATTTCACCTCACCTCACCTCAGAAACCCATGCTTGTTGTAAGAGGCGACTAACGGGATCGGGTGGTCATACTCGCTGACTTGGTTGACACATGTCATGGTATCCCATATTGCGTGGAATGGTGCTCATGCTGTTGATCACTTTATTGTCTGGTCCAGATTTGAAATATTTACAGACTACTGGCATACAGCTGGCCTAGATTTGGAAGCTCTCTTGGCGCTAAGATAGTCATAAGTTAATGTTAATGTCAAGATAGCTTCGAAAATCTAGGCCCTGGAATATTGCTTAGTGCGGCATAAAACAACAACCAATCAACCTGATATCGTAGACTCACTTACACCTGTGTGTCTAAACAGGAGGAATACCTGACTTCATGCTACTGGCGCACCAGTCAGCAGCCTGTGGACACAAGCGACAAGTACGATCCTGCCAGACCCTACTATGAGCAGTACAAGGTGGACTTCGACCAGTACAAGACCATGTTCCTGTCTCTGTCACCATGGGCAACAGGATCACATGCTGGAGTTGTTGCCCTTAGATCTTTCAGGGTATGTAGAGGCAGGTCTTAGTTTCATCTTTTAGGATTTCAGAACTGAATATTTGTTTGCTCCAAGTAAATGTATAAAATCACTCAGCTCAGCTCAGCTTCAGATTCTGAATCAGTCATTGATAATTTTTATGAATTCTCTACCACAATTACATACTTGCCGTGTGAAGCCCATTTCAGGTGGTCCCCGCCGTGATGTTGCTGGAATATTGCTAAAAGCGGCATAAAACCAAACTCACTCACTCACTCACATACTAGCCACAAAACACACAATCATAAGATCTTCACAATTTTCAACGGAAGTCCTCTTCACCGTCCACTACACTCTACTAGGTGTCAAGATAATAGTAGCACCAATCAGCATCTAGTGTAAAAGTGATACAGGCTGTTCCTTGTTCTCCTCATCTCGTCAAAGACCTGAATCATGCTATGAGGCAAATTTGATATATGTTACGAGTATATAGTGACAAATACAAAAATATATTCATGAGTACTTCATGTTTGTAGCCTTGTGGCTAAATCAAGACCCGGTTTAAATGGGTACAATGTGTGTCACATACATGTCAATGACTCATATTCTTTAAGTCAAAATGTCAAGATATATTCTTTAAGTAAAAAGCAGTACTTTGCTGACAATACAGCTTATAGCCTAATGACTTACCATACCATAATGAGCCTTAGCAAAATAACACAAGTTACACTACTGCCTGACTTGGATGTATTACATTTTGATAAATAACAAACTAGTTCCAAGTAAAAACACTCACTTCAAAATATCTGTAAATCTTTGATTCCAGTCACCATGAATAATAAACCAAATTCATGAAGGGATACAGTTTAATTCACCGAATATGCGTGTCAATAGTAAAGTAAATAATACCATCCTCAGTCTCAACCCCACTCTGTCCATCTCTCACTTCGAGGTGCGGTGGGGTAGCCTAGTGGTTAAAGCATCCGCTCATCATGCTGAAGACCTGGGTTCGATTCCCAACACGGGTACAATGTGTGAAGCCCAAGTCTGGAGTCCCCCTGCATGACATTGCTTGAAAATATTTATAAAAGCGGCGTAAAACCCAACTCACTCCACGAATCGGGAGTGAATCGTAACATGACTCGTGTCAGTAGTAAAGTAAATGATGCCATCACCATGTCTCAACCCCTTCTCTCTCATTATTCTATACTGGGGGCAATGGGGTAGCCTAGTGGTTAAAGCGTTCGCTCATCATGCCGAAGACCCGGGTTTGATTCCCCACATGGGTACAATGTGTGAAGTCTATTTCAGGTGTCCCTGCCGTGATATGGCTGGAATATTGCTAAAACCAGTGTTAAACTAAACTCACTCACTCACTCTCCCCTGCAGTATCTGGACAGCAACAAAGACAACATGGTGAACTTCAAGGAGTTTGTCCACCTGCTGGGTGTGCAGTGTAAGGGGGACTTCAACCAGCGCCTCCGGCTCATCTACATCCTCCACCAGCCCCCCTGCCTGCTGCCAGACGAGAAGGACGAGGAAACACCTACATCACCTCAGTCAGGTGAGAGGGAGGGGCAGCCTCCTCGATGAAATAACATCTTTTATTTTGAGGAGACGTCGTTCTGCATGAAGATCTGACAAACCTTACACAGTTCATGTAAACGAGCTTCCAGATCAGCCAATCAGGATCTACTCCTCTATATTCTTTGTTCTAGTGAATCATTTAGAGATGCATATCTCATTTCTGTATCTTGATAAATGACCACAAGCGGCCATTATCCAGTTGAAGTTATGAAAGTTGCACTGTTGTGGACATTATTCCTGTAGTTTCTGAGTTCCCTGGTATCTGAATCCATATTGGAATACAATCGAAGTCTTATTTTTGTTTTGTGTTGGATTTGTTTCTGTTTAAATCGAAACATTTTTATAGCAGGGTGTAGAGTCATCACAAAGATGGGGTTACAGATGGGGTTAACCTCTTTAGTCATGTGGAAAAGGTGTCCAACTTCAGATCAGAAAGTCCATGGTTCAAATCCCAGCACGGGACTCAGAAATTTTATGGGTGCTAAATATGCATTGAGTTGGAAGAAAGTTTGCGCTCTATTGTTTTAGAAACTAGGCATTTGACTTCCTCAATAACCTATACATCCTCAATATTGACTACTGGGTGTGGGTTGTATGATGAAGACAATTACAGTGACCTTAAAGGAACTGAACACTTGCCAAAATGGCTTCACAAGACTTGCTCATTGTTTGATGTTTCAGACTCAACAGAGAGTGCTGTGGAGGCGACAGACTTCTTCGATGACGATGATGCAGCGAATGCACAGAAGGAGTGTGATGGTGCTGATGGTGAGTCACGGAATCGGTATCTGCATCCTGTTTGTGGGGAAGTAAAGGGACATGGCTGGATTACAAGCACATGAAAAAATAGAGCGCCAAATAATACAAATTTTCTGTTAATTTTCAGCAAATTTCAAACATGAATAGAGAAAATTATGATACTAAGCTTGTAACTTTTAGCTTAACAATTGTCATCTGTTATCTTTTCAACCTGTGAAGTGTAGAAATCAAATTGGGAAGTCACACCAGGTCTATATCGAGGTAAAACTGTCTGTTTTATGTAGCCATTAACAACACCAGGTATCTGTTGAGGTCAAACCATCTGATGTACGTAGCTGGTAACCACACTTGGTGTCTATTGGTGTAAAAACATCTGCAACACACAGGCATTAACAACATCAGGCCCCGATTTCTCAAAACAAACTTAAGTCTGAGTTTTGACTTAAGTTAGAGTTTTTACTCAAATTTGAGAAAACGCATTTCCCAGAATGAAATAAAACCGATATTAAACTCAAACATAGGAGACAATTTGTGTTTGGTGAATAGAATAATTATGTTGTTTGGGCTTTTATATTTAAAAAATGCAGCTGAGATAAAAATCCAGCTGTTTCAAATTGTCAAACTCAGTTTGAAATTTGAGTAAAAACTTAAGTATGTTTCGAGAAATCGGGGCCAGATGTCTATTGGGGTAATATCATAAATTTGGTGTAACTATTAACACCAAATAAACAGAACCTCCTTTGTAGATGTTGCTGTTGTTTGTGTTCGCAGACTTGGAATTGCCAAGTGTCGCAGCAGTGAAGGCCACTGCCCCCAGAGACATTCCTGCCCCTTCTGCGGAGAAGGCCTGCCCCCCAGGGTCCCTGCCCCTGGGGTCAGTGGAGAGGGAAGCCTCCCTAGGGGAGAGTGTGGGAGAGGAATCCAGTCAAGACCCCACAGAGAACTACAGCATTGATTCGCCTACAAGTGAGGAAATACTTTAGAATGTATTGTGTTGGAAATTATCATTGTTGGGGAGCAGAGGTAGACCAGTTAGCTATGAATATGGGTTCAAATCCCATTTTTGCCATCAATTTATTCCTGGGCCCTCACAATACCCGTACCTGTGAAGGTCCTGGTTAGAATGAACCTTCAATAACCCATGCTTGTCGTAAGAGGCGACTAACGGGATCGGGTGGTCAGGCTCACTGGCTTGGTTGACACATGTCATCGGTTCCCAAATGCACAGACCGATGCTCATGCTGTTGATCACTGGATTGTCTTGTCCAGACTCGATTATTTAAAGGTTGCCGCCATATAGCTGAAATATTGCTGAGTGCAGCGTTAAACTAAACTCACTCACTCACTCACTCACAATACCCGTGCTTGTAGGTTTAACCAGTGGTGAATGTTCAGAGTTACATCCCTTAGTTGTGCCAGGATCCTGTGGTAGCTTGTTTGAAGGCTTGCCTTAAACTAAAATAAGATGACAGTCAGGGAACTATCAGTTGTGCTTGTTGATGTTCAGTCATAACTGACGCTTTCACTTCCTCAGGAAGCATCAGTTCCAAGTCCAGCTTCAAGAGGTTTGAGTTGAAAAGGATCCGCGCTGACAGCAAGGATGACTTCAGGAGCATACCGAGGATGAACCAGGTCAGCACACATTTCCAACTGGTTAACCTCCACATTAGGAGGGAAAGACAAATTAATTTGATTATATTGTGATTATCTTGTGCTTGTTATCTCAGTTTTTAATTTAAAATATTTGTAGAGAAACAAATAAAGGAACACAGGAAAATTCAAGCATTCCTTTATTATTTTCCAGTTTTCATCACCACAGCGCTATTCAAAGCTGGTGATGAAAACTAGAAAATATTAAAGGCACACTTGATTTTTCCTGTGTTCCTTTATTTGTTTCTCTGCGTATATTAGGGACCCACAATGGCCAGGCCAGGATGTATATTTGACAATATTCCAGACATTGCTTCAAAACAGTTTTGGGGCTATGAAACGATCTGATACAGTTTTTCTGGACATCTAGCTTGCCCAGTTACAATTTGGAGTGGGGAGGAGGAGGGAGGCTAGGTATAAAACCTGGAACGCATCTGTTACAATTTGTATTAAGTTTGAAATAAAGGCCAGGAAAATGCTATTGTTTCACTTTAGGTTACAGATTGTTTAGGTGTAAATAGCACAAAAAAGCTCATGGGTAAAACAGTAACACTAGAAATTATATTTTTCCTTATCCTGACTCATGCTCTTTTTGCTTGTCTCCTTCCTCTTGCGAACATAGTGGAACACTTGTATCTCCCTAATTGAAGTTCCCTTCAATGTAAAATCACTAATTAGTACACCACGAGTTACCTCCCTTCCACAAGAGCGGGAACGGAGGGCGCCACCTCTACCCATGTGCCTCACTCTCTCCTTCTTCGCCCAGTGAGCTGGACGTGAGAGCGCCTGTGTCTCCCGACACACTATATCCTTTGATTATATTTAGTTAGTTACCTCGTATAGAGATCTATAGAGGTTTAGCTAGTATCTTTCAACAATTATATATTGATATTTAGTCGTGTTTCTACTGTTTATGCACGGGACGCCGTGCTGTTGCAGTGGATTACGTTGATAAAAATTCTGTACTGTTGCACATTACGTTTTTTTATTCTGCTGCTGATCTGCATTTAATATGCCCTAGCTGTACTGCGCCATGTTTCATGTGATTCACGTTGCAGTTGCGATACTAATTTATCCAATTCTACCTTTAATAAATAATTACTTTGCGTTTGAGACGCGCAGCAGATAGGTCGCGTATGCAGAGTCTAGCCATGACTGATACACCTGAACCCCTCGCCAGGCTACTGCTGTTGGTCGACCCCCCCTCCCGTCTGGTGTTCCGCTAGAGTGGTAGAGAGGCGTGGGACGTAGTCCGCCGCCTCCAAGAAGCGTCCTGCTTCCCCAGACATCCCATCGTCGCAGCCGAAGACTAGAGGGTTTCTACTGCATCTCAACGCGACCTCTGAGGGGAAATCAACGAAGTCTACTTGAACTTTCTCAGCCGAGATTGTTCCCGTCGCAGATTTGGGCCTGTATGATGATCATACCTGATGTACATCAAAAGAATGACCGATGTCGACAACAGTGATGTCAGCGCAGATCAACATGCAGCCTGATGTACCAACGCTGATATTCTATGATCTTCCTGAGGGTCCATTAAGCTACCAACACTCAGCGCAGACTTAGCACCCCAGGGCAGCGTCGACCTCTGAGGAAATCAGCGAAGTCTACTAGGACTTTCTCAACTGAGATTGTTCCAGCCGCTGAACTGGGCCTCTACGATGATCAGCCGATCATCATCCCGGCGATACACCACAAGAAGCGACCGGAGACAGCTACAGTGACATCAACAGAGATCGCCATGCAGCCTGAGGTCTCTACACTGGCGTCAGATGACTTCCCTGAGGGCCCGCGCTAACATCGCAGAGAGAGGGCGCGGACTAATTCGTCGCCAGACCATCCCAGATGAACTGTTGCGGCAAATCATGATCATGATGGAGGGCCACTACAGACTGGGAAGCAGCCAGCCAAGGCCTGAGCCCAGCGAAGGTTCCAAGCGCAGAGCGACACCCCAGAGGCACCCCATCAGCGTAACAGCCACGGCGAAGCCACCTTCAGCGAAGGAAGTGCGCAGACCACCTCCACGAAGGACCCAGATGTACAGCCTCCTGGCGGCGGGATAGATCATCACCTTCCTCGGCTTCATCCTTAGATGCGGACTCAGACCATCAGACCTCACGGAAGCCTTCGCTGAAGGTCAAATCGCCCGTTCCCCAGGACGGGCCTTGAGAGGAAGCTTAGCGAAGGCCTTAGCGAAGGACACCTGACTACACAAGAGCTTAGCGAAGCTATCAACATTCTCCTCACAGGTCTCCGAGAAGGTCAACCCATAGACGCAGATCACCAACACGATCTCCGCGCCGTTAACCGCGCCGATCTCTTCGTACATCACCACGTCGATCGTCTCACAGGTCACCACACAAGTCTGCACACAAGTCTACAGTCAGGTCACCCGACATAGAGATAGAAATACACAGTCCACCATCAGAAGAGCATCAACATCTCATCAGCGATGCTGGGATAGAAAATGATGGAGGCATCATTTTCTCAGACACTGAGATACGATATTGGATGGTAAACAACCTAGATCTCTCTTCACCTTCCAAGAGTGGCAACTCGGCGCAGACATACCTGATAAAGGAAGACGAGGCAGACGCCATCACCTTACCTCCGATCGACTCGATTGCTGCGGTGCCACAGTATGTGGACACAGCCTACCATAAAGCCATAACAGTTCAAAGCGCCAGAGGCGTATGTTTTTGGCATTAATAGATCTAGAACGATCAATGAGATTCTTATCACCAGATTTCGCGGACACGACTTCAGAAGATGATAGGATGATCTACTCGGCTCTACTTATGCAGAACCAGCAAGAACCACACCCTGTATGAAGCTAATGCTCATATATTGATCGGATTCTAGACACTTCGCTAAGGAAGTCCCAGGCCACCTCCAGCGAAGGAGCTAGAGCCTCACCAGTTACAAGGGGCGTCCACGGAGGAGTAGCGCTTCACCGACCCACATATTGCTGAGTGCGGCGTAAAACAAAACACTCACTCACTCACTCCTGTTGAACACAGAGGTCGATTCAGCGAAGCAAGCTCATATATTATATATATACTGATCGGGCTCTGACTCGATACCTTCGCGAAGGTCGCGAAGGCTAAGTGGCTCCAAGTCTACCTCACACAGGAAATCTAGAATGGATACTCCGAGCTTAGCGAAGTCTCCGGCGTCCACCGAGGAATTCTCCTCCAAGGTCTCCATATATTAGCCACTTTCGTCATATATAGCTACTTTCGTCCAGTCCGTTCAAGACATCGCGCATAAGTTGTCTATCAACTGTATGCCATATGCCGTCTATAAGCCTACGCGAAGACAATTGCACAGGCTATTTACAACACAAAGCGTCGCTATATTAATTAATCAGCGGCGTTGCATAGATCTTCACAGAAATCAACCTTTCCGTATAGATTGCTAGAATATGCAATCCCGGACTACGATACGATTATCTACATGCGTGACCATTACGCAGATCTGCAGACAATTCAATATCGAAATTGAACAGCAGCCTTGTTACAGCGAGTATAACTCATAATCGTCAAAGTTTCTGAGAAGAAATATGTACAAGTTCAGCTTTAATTCTACAATTATGACGATACATTCATGTATACAGTCTACAAGCTGACAACTTGCAAGTTTATTGTACCTTTATATAAGGAAGTCGGAATTATATTCAAAACTGAAGTTACATTCACGACAGCCAGGAAAATAACCTACCCAGCATTAATATTACAGAGCGAGGTATTTCGCGCCGGAGGTTTCGTAGCGTTTACCTTAACCCTCGAAACGTGGTCACTCGGGTAACCGGGGAAGCTACGGTGAAGACCGGACGATTATGCTAATATCAACGGACGGCAAGATTTTATACAAGGTTTTTCCTGCTACACCGGTGACATCACAGCGGGTATTCTACAGAATCAAAATGCCTTGTTCTGATTGGACGGCGTTGGACAGCGACCTACGCAGAGGTCGATCTTAGTTCACAGTTCAAGACTTACGTTACAAGTGACAACTATATATCAGTGAGCGAGCAAGCCTCCTTACAGTCCAGTTAATCTGAACCTTCATGATTGGGCTGCTTTCTTCAGGTTAGAGACCTCCCCTGTCAAGTTAGGACGAGGCACGGCAGTCAGGCAATTTTACATAAAGTTCAAGCGAGGACAGACACACCTGGTTGTGCACCTACATCGTCAAGGACTTCTTAGAGCGAATAACCTAGGACGACGGGATACAAGTGGATCTAAATCCACAGCGTCTCAGACTACAGCTGAATTTCATAATCAAGCTACTAACACAACTAGATGGTTAGTAAACCTACTTAAACTTTCTGATTGGAGAATTAAAAGCGGAAGTTTCACCCTCCAACTTGGGGATCTGAATATAGTGCTCCAACACCTCACAAGTGAGGTTTATGAACACGCCTGGATGACATACTTGGACTCCATGATACGATGATTCTATCACGATGGCCAGCAAGAGCACTGTAAATTTATCTCCACCGAAACAAACAGAAGGGAATAATACAACAGATTATTTCCTCTATCATCAACTTACGCAGAATGAAATCTCTCATTACTATATCTCCGTTTGGATCAGAACTGTCATACTACGTGCATACAAGACGGATGGACCCAATCCGACCCTCCATGAGCTTTTAATACTCATGATATTAGAGCTAACTTCTACAATTGATCTACACAATATTATTTGAAATAATGGAGGGTTTATTTTCTGGAGATCCGATATGGTGGTTGCCAACCATTATCTGAGAGATATCATCACCGAGGGCGTCTCAGGTATCCACCAATTCGATCCCATGGTCCTCGCACAACAGTTGACAGTTCCTCGGAGAAGATAAGTCAATCTTACAGATTTCTACTTATCTTATAACAGTACTAAATAGCTACATGCTATATATAATTTGCTTAAGTTCTTTTATCATCACAGTACTATGATTATTACATCATACAATATATAAGTTAACAACTCTACAGAGTTGGTTATTATATATTTACCTTAACTTTATTATATCTTAAGCATAGTACTATACTCAGATTGTAAAAATATATAAGCTAACAAACTCTACAGAGTTTGGGCTATTATATAGGTAGCTTAAGCTTATTCATATCTTAAGCTCAGTACTATGTTTATATCATATCAGTATATTAGCTAACAAACTCTAAAGAGGTTTTGCTATTTGGCTTAAGGCTCATCATATCTTAAGCAATATGGTTACATTATAACATGTATTAGCTAACAAACTCTACGGAGTTTTTACTATTATATATGTAACTTAAGCTTATTCATATCTTAAGCGCAATACTATGTTTATATCATATAGGTATATTAGCTATCAAAACTCTAAAAGAGTTTTTTGCTATTATATATTTGGCTTAAGTTTCATCATAATTTAAACTTTATGGTTACATTATAACTTGTATAAGCTAACAAACTCTATGGAGTTTTTGCTATTATATATGTAGCTTAAGTTTTCCTTCAAATCTTAAGCTCAATACTATGTTTATATCATATAAGTATATTAGCTAACAAACTCTACAGAGTTTTTGCTATTATATATGTAGCTTAAGGTTTCCTTCAAAGCTCAATACTATGTTTATATCATATAAGTATATTAGCTAACAAACTCTACGGAGTGTTTGCTATTATATATGTAGCTTAAGGTTTCCTTCATAAACTCAATACTAGGTTTATATCATATAAGTATTTTAGCTAACAAACTCTAAAGGGTTTTTTGCTATTATCCAATTAGCTTAAGTTTCATCATATCTTAAGCAGTATGGTTACATTATAAAATGTATTAGCTAACAAAACTCTACGGAGTTTTGCTATTATATATATAGCTTAAGTTTAATTATATCTTAAGCTCAGTACTATGGTTATAACATAAAAGTATATTAGTTAATAAACTCTAAGGAGTTTTTGCTATATACATTTAGCTTAAGTCTAATCTTATCTTAAGCTTAGTACTATGGTTACATTATAAATCTATAAGCTAATAAACTCTACAGAGTTTTGGCTATTATATATGTAGCTTAAGTTAATTATATCTTAAGCACAGTACTATACTCATATTGTAAAAATATATTAGCTAACAAACTCTACAGAGTTTTGCTATTATATAGGTAGCTAAAGCTTATTCATATCTTAAGCTCAGCACTATGTCTATATCATATAAGTACATTAACTAACAAACTCTAAAAGAGTTTTGCTATTATATAATTAGCTTAAGTTTAATCATATCTTAAGCTTAGTACTATGTTTATATTTAAAGTAATTTAGCTAACAAACTCTAAGGAGTTTATACTAGCATATTAACAAGCTTAAGTCTATTAGTCTTAAGCATTGTATTAATGTTATATATACTTTATCATAATAAGTACATTGTAATAACCTTTATATGGCAGCTGATAAGTTAGCAGCAGGAATTCATCAATTCAGTGCCTTTATGAAGTTCCCATAGGGTTATTACAATCATCACAGTTCAAATCACTAATTATTAAAATCCAAAGTATTATATATTCCCACCTCCGCTCTGTTGGATTCTACAAGCAAAAAGAGCATGAGTCAGGATAAGGAAAAATATGTAATTTTTTGAGTAAAATTGATATTTTATACTTATCCTGACTCATGAGGTCAGCCCTCCCATCCTCCCCAAATAACACTTTGGATTTCCCTGTAAATTCAAATGTTGGGCTCAGTATATGAGGAGAGAGTGAGGCACATGGGTAGAGGTGGCGCCCTCGTTCCCGCGCTTGTGGAAGGGAGGTAACTCGTGGTGTACTAATTAGTGATTTTACATTGAAGGGAACTTCAATTAGGGAGATACAAGTGTTCCACTATGTTCGCAAGAGGAAGGAGACAAGCAAAAAGAGCATGAGTCAGGATAAGTATAAAATATCAATTTTACTCAAAAAATTACATATTTGTGTGAACCAACAGTCATAACTACAATTGATCTTAGGCACTTACTATCATCTTTACAATCACTGTACAATGGTCGTATTTCATTTGAACTGACCGATCATAAGGTGATTGCATGACGTTTTTCATTTTCACATAAGAATGTTTGTAGCTTACAATGCTGTAAGCCAACAATTGGATTCTGACTCGTTCCTAAGCCTACGATCATGATCATGATTGATTTACAGTAATTGTAGCCTGAAGATTGTTTCGTGTAAGTTGGTCCGGACTACATATGATCAGGAAGGGCTTATTCTGGAGACTAAAATATGAGTAGACTCAAAATAAGTCCAATTGTTCAAGTGGTTATGCATCTCATTTTGAATTCAGATAGTGTATACTAAAGTTTCCATTATTTTCAATTTCAGTACCAGTTCATTCAGATGTGGAAGACCCTGTATGACATGTTCAACGAACACGAGGAGGAACAACAGCTCTATCATGCAATTGCCACCATCGGCACATTACTTCTTCAGATTGGGGAGGTTGGGAAACGATTCATGCGGAAAAGTGAATCTGGAGACAGCAGCCTATTCACTGAATCTGACCTTCCTCTGTCCTCTAGCATCGACAGTCAGAGTGACATGTCCATTAGCCCAAGTCAGAGGACACTTGAGAGCAGTTCGCCGTTTGAAAGTCATGTAAATACACCAACAAATTCATCCAATCCTCCTGCAGATAAAGACAATTTGACCAAAAAGACATTAGCAGAAGGGGATAATGTTGCAAGTGTTAAAGATCCTAACAGTAATGTCACTGATGAGCAGAACAGTGTCACCAAGGGAGACAATGCAGACAAATCCAAGGGAGATAATTCTGATGTAAAGGGAGACAATTCTGTCAAGTCTAAGGGAGGTAATTCTCAGAAGGAACTGAAGACTGAGGACAGTTTGAAGGAGAATGTATCTGAAGAAGAAAATGGCAACTCAAGTCAAAAATCAGGCAACAGTGTTGATGCTTCTCGGGAAAGTCGAAGCAGCGTCGCCTCTGAGGGTCAACAGTCGTATGAAGAGTCTTCCCAAAACTCAAGCAAACCAGATTCAGAATGGTCGATCTCCTTTGAACAATTTCTTGCATCCATGCTAACTGAACCTGTACTAGTAAAGTATTTTGAAAAGCAATACAACGTATGCGATTCTGTCTCCAAAATGAGAAACAGAAGATTACAAACTCAGACGAGTACGTTTAGTCAGGCAACAGCTCAGTCAAACTCTTAATATCTGTGATCATAATAGCTCTGTGTCTTCTAGAGTGTATTTTCAAATTTGTTAGCTCAGATGTAGAAAATGTTGATGAAACGCAGAATTAAATAGTCATAATGCATTATGATGTTGGATATTTGGGGTTATGATTAGTTTTGGGGCTATAGTGTTTGCAACATTGGAACACCTCCATGTAACTGCCTTAGGAGTCTCGTCAGAATGGAAGCTGAAAATATACTCCTTTTATTTTGACACTTTAAAGAAGTAGACGAAATAGTCCCAGATCATGCAATAGCCTTCATTTTATTATATCACTGTGAAAATAATTCAGTTGAAATAAGCATTTGTACAAGTTGAATGCACACAACCTCCCATATGTTAATGAAATCACTTCTGTCAAAGACCACAATTATTGAAGTTATATTATCTCTTAAAATGTTGTTGGGTCATAAATTGTATTGAGATTTGTTTATATATCAACCAAAATATGTTTAGGTGAAAAGATTTTTAATGAAAGACATCTGTTTGTGTTAGTATTTGCTTGAGAACATGTTATTTGTTGTATATGCTATAGACTACTGTATTATTTCACAATGTTAAAATCGGATCCTTCCTTCGACTTTGATACTTTCTGCATCATGATCTGACCTTTGAGGTCATGCCAGGTGAACCTGAATGACCTTTGTTGGCCAATCAAACTAGGAGATGTATTTGGAGACAGTTATCATGTAGTATGTGGTCTAACACAATTCAGTTTCATTTTGGTGATGGATGTGATGATTGGTTTGGGGATATGTAATGATAGTCACACAGAATCCTTAATGGTCCTGAACGATGTGTTAGAGACAATAGGGTTAAAACTACCTACACCAAATCTTGTTCTTCATTTGGAACTGCCTGTTTATGATTAATTCCAAGATGCAGCAGTCAGATATGCTTCTGAGAATGTTTTGCTCCAAGAAGTTCTGTTTTGATTGGCTGATGACAAAGTTCACCTGATGCAATGCCTATCGAGGGTTTGTCTTGATGAAGTATTCAGGGAGACCGAGACGTCCGATTTGAAGGAGATTTGAGAAGTTGTATATGTAACTATTTTGACCAGTTTGTTGGTTAATGGTTTCAACCTGGATAATGTATGTATGTATGTGACCACAGTGTGGGCATTCATCATTCTATTCATTGTTGACGATATTACTTTCACTTTATTCATTGGTTTTGTGGGTTTCTCATTATGCATATTAATTGAAACATCACTTTTTGGTGAAAATATAGCTTCTTAAGAAAATATGAAACAAAAACGAAGTCATTATGTGAATTCAATCACAAACACACTGTGGCTGTGTTTTCTAATCCTGCAACCTTGAAAAGATTAACATGGAGTATTCTGAATGACAGTCATTGGCTGAACAACAAATTCCACAAAACACATTGTATGTCTTTTGTTTCAAACATTGAAATGAAGGAGAGAAAGTGCCCATTGGAAAGACTGCCAGACAATCTCAGCCATCTACAGACTATAAGTTTTCAAGTTTTAAATTAATATATTTCAAATCGTAGTCTGGGATTGAAGTTGCTTGGCTAATGGCTACATCTTGTTAGTAACATTTTGATCAGTCGAAGTTCAACAAGGTTGTTCCGGGACCTATATTGGGATGTCCTCAGATCTCAGTGAAGCGGCAATGAGCACTGAAAACGGATTTTCATGAGATAGTTTTTTCATAGTTATGACATGGAACTTCATTCTAGAAGGTACATGTATACAATTTGTTGTTAAAACACTATTATGACAACACAAGGTTGATGTGGGTCAAAGTTTGTTGAAATATGAAGATTAAATATTATTTTTGCTTCAGATAATGTTACTCTATTTTCTATGCCAAATGACTGCATGTTAGTGCTTCCAGGATTTGTATGCATGTGTAGATGTCAGAAAACTGAAGGATTTCTCGAGATAGTGCCCAGCTGCCATGGTAACAGCCAATCTATGCCTTGTTAAATAATGATTTTTGCGACAATACAGACAAAGACATAATCATGAATGTGTGTTAATGTCTGTAGAAGTTTTTTCTTCAATCTTTTATGCCCTTATTTCCCTCAATCATATTAATTGCTGACAGTTTAGATGTATAATTTTACAGTGTCATGATGTAGTGTCTTCATACAATTTGTCTTGATGCAGTGTCTGATACAATGTGTCATGATGCATTGTCTTGATACAATCTGTCATCATGCAGTGTTTTATATGATGTGTCACAGTGCTGTGTCTGATACAATATGTCACAATTCAATGTGTCCTGATGCAATGTTGAAACAATGTGTCCTGATGCAGTGTCTTGATACAATGTGTCCTGATGCTGTGTCTGATACAATGTGTCACAATGCAGTGTCTGATACAATGTGTCACAATGCAGTGTCTGATACAATGTGTCACAATTCAGTGTCTTGATACAATGTTTCACAATGCAGTGTCTGATACAATGTGTCTTGATTCAGTGTGTCACAATGCTGCCTCTTGATACAGTGTGTCAAATGCAGTATCTGATACAGTGTGTCACAATGCAGTATCTTGATACAATGTGTCACAATGCAGTATCTTGATACAGTGTGTCACAATGCAGTATCTTGTTACAGTTTATCACAAATCCAAGAGAATATGAGTTTTCATCACATGGATTGGCATTGAGTAATACATTGGCATTGAGTAATAGATCTTACAAGAAACTTGACTTAGCAAACTCTCAGTGTAATGGCACACATCCATGGGAACGTGCAATCAAACTTATTGTTAGATTTTGTTGTCTTTCATACTTTCAAATAATGAATTGTGCATTAACCATGATGGTTAAATATTAGTGTTATTTTTACTTCATATCTTTTCATTAAATAACATACAAACTTGATTAGATTTGATTTGAATGAATCATTTATTTACCAATAGTTCTTCCATTTCATTATTTGCTGATATTTATACATGTGACTGATGTGATCTGTTTTTCAATTAATAGATTATTCTCATATCATTATTTCATGATACTTGACTTAAGATAGGAATACTGGGCTAGTGATGCCTTTCTGCTTAAAATTTATGTCATATATACTAGAGTGAGAGAGTTTGGTTGTACGCCGCTTTTATCAATATTCCAGCAACATCACGGCGGGGAACACCAGAAATAGGCATCACACATTGTTCATACATACTAGAACTTATTGACAACCATACCTTTGTACAATGGTATTCCTATCAATGGTTTAGTACATGTTAACAAAAAATGGATTAGAATCTTGAGGGTATTGGTGTAGAGCTGAATACACAATCTGATAAACATATCTCAAAGTATTTATGTTCCCGAACTTTATTGTTTAGTTCATAAAAGATTCTCAAGTACTATTTCCACAATAAACACAACTGCCTCCAAGAGATAGTACTGTTGTATTTTTGCACGTTATAGTGTATAAATCCCACTCATACTAAAAACAATATGGACACCATGGAAGCTATACTTACCACATATATTTTATTTTCTTGTTTCCAGTGTTGTGGATAGTGCAGTGAGTTTGTAGTTGTATATGCGTAAAATCAGGATGTGCTGTAAAAGGGTCACTCCCAAAAGACAGACCACCCATAAGACAGACTCAATGAGTACACTAATTAGCTGAGCCATGCTGTCCACCCCTATTTAATTAATGAGCTGACCCAGAGTTACTACAGAGTATAGTAACAACACTCTCCTATCTCCTTCTCTAAACATATTACTAATCCTTTTACTGAACAGAACCGAACCGAACCAGAATTTTATTCTAAAAAAATCACATATAGTGACAGAGAAATTTATATATAAATAATTTATTTATAGTTATATTATTGTTTTTGATAATATTCACAAGTAAATGTGATCTGGCAAATATATGTTGATGTACATATATATGTTGATGCAATATGTCTTTATTTAAAAATCATAATTCATTACATGAATTGACAAAACTATAGTTAATACCTAATGTTGTCTTTTTTATCTGGGCACATACCATTATTATCAAGGGTACAGCTTAATTAAGCCTTATACAATCAACCATAAAATGTGTTGTTTTAAGCGGTCTGTCTTTTGGGAAGATACCCTGTAAAACCCTGTTAATTTGTTACCCTGCTGATGTAGACATGGAGAGAAGTTCAGTTTAAATTTTAATTCACACAGCTCTGGATTAGTTTAATATTGGCACATATATCTTTTTGGTTGGTTTATGAGAACAACAGAAAAACAAATCAAATTACTTTTGACGAAAAAGTTTGGGGTTTTACTTTTATAATTAGCTGAAAGGAAAACAAAAACATACAATAATATCATAAGATGTAGAGAAATATATGTTCAGAAATCTAAATTTCAAGTGAAATGAAGTCAATTTTGTTTCTCATAATCTTACTATTGATAAAATGTGTTCTTTTTTTAGCATTTGTACCGTAGTATAACAATTGGAAAGGGAAGGTATTATGTCAATATGTTTTCAACCACCTACATAGAAATTAAGGCGAAAATGTTTGAAAGCCAACTAATACAAAATAAAAGGCCTGCAAAATTTGAATCAGAAGAGTCAAATTTAAATGTAATTATAATGAGTAGCGTACTAATGGATATGTTGTTACAGGTTTATCGATATATCTCTTAGCAATGAAACTTTGTCAAGTCTCAGTAATATAATTCAGAGATTAACCTACTGTGTTTTGAAATTAGAGGTAGCATAACAGAATTATAATACCTCTAAATTTAATGTAAAACTGAATGCGTCTCCATTCTACCATGACAATTTTATGAACAATTTCAGTTAGAACTCTTTCTTTGGTTACACCATTTATCATAAACTGATTCTGAATGCCTGTATACATGTTGGTTAGTATGTGTTAGTTCATTTTGAGTATTTCACATGTTTGTATAGACTACAATTCTTCATCAGCCGTAAATACATGCGTTCAGTGCACAGTACATCCTCGATAATCTCCAGGGTATATGTTACACTAAATCTCCACTATTCCATGGATACATCTACGGCTCGGCCCGATAATGTTATTACCTCCCTTTGCTGGCTCCGCACTCTAACAGTAGCTAATGAGGTAAGCTGCTGTTACAGGCGAGCTTGCCAGAGCCAACAAAGATAGCGGTCGCAGCCACGAAGGTTTGTTCGCCGTGCGGCTCAGATTTTGGGGGAAATCATAGAGACAAATTGAAAGATCTGAAACCTTAAAAAAATATATGCAAGAACTCCTTCTACCTCTTTCAGAGTACCTCTGCAACAATTATGTTACCAAGTTTAATTGGTTAGATAAAAGAAGCGAAAGTGACTTGTGATTGGTATGCTCAACTTCCCAGCGTAGACACCTGATTGGATAAAAAGCCAGCCAAGGGAGGTAATAAAATCATTGGGTCGAGCCGCAGATGCATCCAGGGTATAGTGGAGATTTATTGTAACATATACCCTGGAGATTATCGAGGATGTGCACAGTATAACGGTGATGTGTCTATTTTTACGTCAAGCAGTGAAGCAGGTGGTAGTTAAATAATTCCAGCTTCTGGGCTGAATGTGGTACCTGACCCTTACCTCATATTGAAGCAATGTATGTACAGGATTTTTGGATTAAACGCCAAGGCTCGAATATACACCAGATTCTAACACTGATATACTTCAGCATGCCGTTGTACAAAGCAACCTTAGTGGTACGCCAGTCGTAAGTCTATGTTAAGGTATGGGAGTTACGGTTACCTTAGCGCTAAGACTACCTTAAGTCTATGTTAAGGTATGGGAGTTACGATTACCTAAGTAATAAGATCGCTTTTGTACAACGGCACCCAGGTCATATGGTTTGTCCAACATGTAGGAAGTAGGCTTCTTCTGGACTCAGGGCATCTAATTCTTTGATGAATTAGTGATTGATGTAGAGCATTACTTGACATATGGGGTGGTGTGTGGTCTTGTGCATATAGTCCAGTCACAAATCAGTTGAAGTTGAGCAGCATTGGGCGTGAAAGTCCTTGGCAGCTTGACTCTAGAGAGTTTCTAGTACTTCTTCCAGCCCCACAATGAAGCACATGTGATATATGTGGTCCCCCACAATGAAGCACATGTGATATATGTGGTCCCACAATGAAGCACATGTGATCTCACCCTAGGCAAGTGAAATTGTTCAAAATTGCCTCGGGTTCACCCAGCAGTGAATGGGTACCAGGTGGGATAAATCATATGACTATTATTCTAGTGCCTCACTGGCAGCTTGGGTTAACCTTGGTAATAACGTCCATTATGTTGCATGTGCATAGAGCAAGCAAATACAGCATGGTGTTCAGGGCCATATAAGTGGCCTTGTAGTAAATCTGCCCTTTCTGTGACTGTAGAATTTGGGATTCAGTTTAGTAGGGAGTTGCTCCTGAGTGAGCACTGAACAGAATACATGCTTATAAAACATATCAGCCACAAATATAAAAGAGTAATGTAATAGATGAAATATGTCGTGGATGACCTCAGAGCTATAGAACATGTTCACCTCGATATTCTTGAGTGAAGTAAGGCTCCTGCATTGTGTCCGCATGTTGACACAGGTGATGGAGGAATGTAGTTTCTGTACACTCTTGAAGTAGTTCTGTCTTGTTAGGTATAGAAGATTTCTTAATGAGGCCAGACCAGTTTTATTTCTTGTTTTATGGATTTTTGTCCTCAGAAAACCTAAAGGCAGGAGGAAAAAAAACCAAAAAATAAAAATAACTAATCAAAGTAATATTCCTTTTAAATACTAAAAGTATTTTACTTTTGACAATTTTCGAAGTGTATATGGGGCAAAAAACAATAAAAAAATTGTTTTGTAAGTTTACATTTTTGGCCAATAAAACATTAGGATTTTATTTTTTGAGCAGGGAAAATTAATTATTTTTTTATCCTTGAAAATATATGACAGGAGGATCTGTAAAACAAGAAATACAATTGGTCTGGCCTGATATTGTTTTGTAAATATTTCAAAATATGCCTGAGTCAGTTTATATCTTCAAATCTGTATAGTCATATCATTATCTGCTGTTATGCATGATTTGTTGTTGTTTTGTTTATCTATCTTCTTGTTTGACAGTTTTCTTACAATATTAGTACTTAAACACTGTTAAGCATCTAATTTGGTTTAATTCATGATTTAACAGTGATTTAAAGAGAACTGTCAGTAGGATAGAGTGAAATGAATGAAATGAGAGAATGGTCTGTTGGATGTGATTTACAAAGAGTTACTTCCCTTCCCACATTGATCGCCTGGTTTTAATACAACTGATGGCAGTTTGATGGATGAACAAAGGCATACTGAAAATATTAGTTGGATGGTGATTTGAAAACACAGTATTATGATTATCCTACCTTGGTCAGCTCAAAAAGAAATTATGAAAATGAATTTAACCAGAAATGAGAGAGGGCTATGTAACTTCTTTGATGGGCATATTAGAAGTTGAGTTGATGAAGAATGATGACAATTTTTATGGATATACAACTTCTTTTTATTCTGTGAAGGGCGACGTTTTGACATAGACTTTAATGTTGTCAAGCAAGTGATACATGGTCTATGTAAGTTTGGAAAACTTTTGTTCCATCCTTTTCCTTGTTACTAAAACATGTTTAAATAAACTGTGGCAGAGAAATATCTTTCTTTCTAGCCTTGTCCTAACCAAGACACCAGTTTCACACCTGCTATATATGTACAGTACTGATGTGTAAATCTTCTTTTGTTTACAGGAATTAGAATGAGTGATTAATGCATTTGCTGGTACTTCGGAAATGTTTGTGTACAAATTATGGTTGTTTATTAAATTGGAAAATATTTCCTTTTGAGAAAATGGCAGGCAGGTCATATCTAAAATACAATGTGTAGATGCTTTTAAAAAATACCACCAAAAATCTACCTCTTATTTGTAAGCAGGATTTTCATGCAGCTTTTGACATTATTCCAGCCATATTTGAGTGTGTGTGTGTGTGTGTGTGTGTGTGTGTGTGTGTGTGTGTGTGTGTACCTGCATGTGTGTTTCTGTGTGAGAGTGAGTGAGTGAGAGAACGGTGTGTGTGTGAGCAAACATGTGACCGTGTGTGTGTGTGTGTACCTGCATGTGTGTTTCTGTGTGAGAGTGAGTGAGTGAGAGAACGGTGTGTGTGTGAGCATGTGTGTGCATAGGCAGAAACGTGCATATGGTAGTAAACATACTCGATTCTCATCTTGATGAAACTCAATGTTTGTTCCTAATGGCTACTTTACTACAGTTATATTCCCCCAATAAACTGGTGTTTTCTGTTGTAGATCTGTACTATACACAAGAAAATACCTGTAAATGTGTCAAATAATATGGGCACTTGTGAAGAATACTAGCAGACTGTTGAAAGGGACACTGCTTGAGGCAGGATGCTC